CGTATTCACAAGAGCCCTCCACCGGTCCTGGTCTTGCTACACGGCACCATATCCTTCAGTCTATGTTTGTTTCCATATTGAACCAATGAACACATTTTTATAAACCTGGGCATTATGTCATATCATCAGTGTCCACTCTGAGACTGATATTTCCGTAATTCCACTTCATCAGTAGTAGTCTACCAGCGTGGCGTTAGTGCCAGCTTATGAGGGAACACCGCTCAATATAAAGCAGTGTATACTGTATAATTGCACCTGGTAACAAGCCCCAAAAATACGTAGGTCGTACTGAAAGTCATGAGCAACAATTTTTTGTAAAGTAACATGCTTCATTATTGACAAACCAAATACACCACCTCAATCTACAGACCTTTCTTTATTTTTCCACATAATCGCCACTTCTTTGTACACATTTCTCCCAGCGTTCTGGGAATTTGAAAATTCCCCTTCTGTAAAATTCCGTTCCAGCCATCCGAAGACACTGACGCACTGCTTTCTAAATTCATCGTGCTTATGGAAGTCTGTGCATGGGTGCAAGCAGTGTTCGAAGATGGGTGAAAAATTTTAAAGATGGGAACACCAGGAGTGAAGATGAGCCTCGCAGCGGTCGTCCTCGAAGAGCCTCAACCGAACGCGACAAGGAAAGAGTGGATGAGATCATTCAAGATGACAGGCGTGTGACTGTGGATACAGTAGCCCGAAAACTTGGAATAGGGCACAGTGCAGTACAGGAGATGATTGAAAGCTTGGGCTATAGGAAAATATTGTGCTCGTTGGGTCCCGCGGTTATTGACCGAAGACCATAAAGGTCACATTGGAAACAATTGCAATGATGGGGTGGGAAGTTCTTCCACACCCCTCCTATAGCCCTGATCTGGCACCCTCCGACTACCATCTTTTCGGATCTGTGAAGGATCAGCTGCGTGGACAACGTTTTGAAACAAGGGAGGCAATTCAGAAAGCTGTGCGTCAGTGTCTTCGGATGGCTGGAACAGAATTTTACAGAAGGGGAATTTTCAAACTCCCAAAACGCTGGGAGAAATGTGTACAAAGAAGTGGCGATTATGTGGAAAAATAAAGAAAGGTCTGTAGATTTAGGTGGTGTATTTGGTTTGACAATAATAAAGAATGTTACTTTACAAAAAATTGTTGCTCATGACTTTCCGTACGACCCTCGTATGTTATTTCTGTTGATGTCATTTCTTTATAAGTAAAAAAAGTAAAGGTATCCCTGTAACAGGCCTTGGAGGCCCATAGGGTTGTGAGATGTTGAGGTTCCCACATTTTCTAGACAACTGGCTTATTATTTTTTTTTATTATTGCTAGTGGGGTGGGACTAAGTCCCTTGTACCGCGGCCACTTCTGGCCTATTGTACCAGCCCCAGATGATAGGTGAGGGTGATTGTGGAGCAATTGGTGGAATGAAGATTGGCAGGGGAAACCGAAGTACTCGGAAAGAACCTGCCCCAGCGCCGCTTTTTCCACCACAAATCCCACTTGACCAGACCCAGGATCGAACCCTGGCAGCCGTGGTGGGAAGCCAGCGACTAACCGCTTGAGCTATGGTGCGGGCTTCACAATTGGCTCATAGATGGCGGTAAGGTTGTCAGCCCTACACGCCGGCCGGCCTTTACCCCTAAGAATATTCCAAGATTAATACTGGTACTCATTTCTGTTAGAGGCTGAGTCGACCCCAGGGCCACAGTGCGGTTGGAAGGATTACGTCCAACGGCGGCGTTTGACACTGGCGGCGATGAAAATTCGGGTTCTACTATCAGCGTTAGTCGGTTAATTGGTAAGTCGCGTTGTTTGTTTGTTTCTTTGTTTGTTTAGAGAGATCATGACGTCGACCTCCTCCACCCTCAACATTTTTCTTTACGTGTTGCATGCTGCTGGGTCACTCAAAACAGTGTACTGTTTTCCCAATATTCTTGTTGGCGTGGCTAGAAGTGTCGTATTGTTCCTACTGTACTTCTGTCTTAACAGGGATACTGATGTTAATGGAATACTTAGTTGGGTAGTAATTACTTAGGACGGGCGCCACTGTAAGCATGCACTTGCAGAATTGATACGGAGGCGCAGCTTCGGGAAATTGACACGAAACTTTAAGGGTGTAGTTGTTAAAACTCACACCAGAGGAACTAAATGAGTTGGTTTCGTCTAGATTTAACACATTTTTCACAGTCACAACAGGTATGTTTCTTGCCTTTACAGCACACACATTTCTTTCTTTCACTTCTTTACTTAAATTAAGTCAATAACTTGATTAGCACTTTAGTTACTTTGAATAAAGGCGGCGCCATAGTTCAGGCGGTTAGTCGCCGGTTTCCCACAGTGGCGGCCCGGGTTCGAGCCCAGGTCAGGCCATATGGTGGACAAAGTGGCACTTCAAGACTCCCTCCCCCCAAAAAGAAATATATTTGCAGAACAAATAATCAGTGTTCAACAGAACTTAGGACTTCCTTCATAGAATTTAGAACGAGGGTGCGAGAAGAACAGGTTCGTATAGTTCGAGAATTTGACGCCAATTATTATACTTGATAATTTTGAATTACGGAGCGTGCGGGAAACACATCCGTATATTCCGAGGATTTGACACGAAGTGTTTCCGCTTGGAGATGGCTTGGGTATACCCTCAAGCGTCAAAAAATTCAGATTTTCGGTTTTCCCATCGCGGAGCCGTTGACTGGCAAGTTTAAACGTGGTTTATCGCGAGGACAACACAATATGCCTGTCCTACGCACATTCTTGGGTGTGGGGTGGGGGAGATATAATGAGGACTCGCAGGATGATGAGAATCTGATGCCGTAACTGCGTCTGCAACACGAACGCAACTTAGAGACGGTAGTGAAGGACGCTGATGACGACGGTATGATGTCATAGGAATATCTGTATATCTGTATGTCAGCATAATTATGTACGACAATCATATCGAACCAAACAGAAGGCTGCTGCCTGCCAGGTGATGTACCTACGGCCCGTAATGAGTTAAGACGTGTGTGTAAGCGAAATGCCTCGAGTGGGTGAGTGGTTGCCCCTTAGCTTACTTATTCGCGCTGTCTCGGGTCCGGAGACTGTGGGCTTTCGTTGTTTCCCTGTCTCTCCTCAGGAAACATTGCTATGGTACTTTAAAACAGGACGTAACATCTTCCTTCCGAAATATTTACATTTTATCACTCGCGGTAATTATTCCTTCGTTTTGCATTACATAACCTATGCATAAGAGAAATCGTTGTTAAACAGAATACGAAGATACGTGCTTCGTAGCTGTTTATGGGTAGATTGATATAGGCACAACCTCTCTACTTGAATTCCAGAGGTAAGAAGTTCAGTTTCAACCGAGTATTCTAAGTGAGCTTCTTTCGGCTTTCCTCATTCCCGGAAAATGTCGTCTTTCCATGTAATATAATTCGATATTATAGTTTATTTATTGACTGTCAGTATCGAGTCTGTACAGTATCGGTGGTAGGGTGACAGAATAATGTGGAGCAGTTAAAAAAATTTGCTTACTGGTGGGTGGAGTCCAACTGGGTCCATTCGGCACGGCGGCCACTGATGGCCCTATTGTAGCCTGCCCCGGCTGATTATGATGATGGGGAATTTGGCGGAATGAAGATTGGCGGGGGAAACTGAAGTACTCGGAGAAAACCCGCCCCAGCGCCACTTTGTCCACCACAAATCCCACTTGACGTGACCCGGGGATCGAACCCGGGTCGCCGCGGTGGGAAGCCAGCGACTAACCGCTTGAGCTATGGCGCGGCCTATGTGGAGCAGTTTGTATAATGAGAAGAATGCTGTAAGACCTATAAAGTTGAAACAACGTCTTCAAATAATAATGAAAAATCACATCGTGGAGTAGAGAGATTCGTCCAGTACGCAAGCCAGTCATCATTCGTAATCCTAGACTAGCAGTTATAAATCTGTGCTTCGCGACATCCTTCGGGTGTCGCAGTTTACGAGCACAAAATATGTTTCCGCAATCAAAATGAAGCTTTTACATTTAGATATGTCATCATAACTGCAAGGGACATTGTTCAGAAATCCATAAACTCCTCAGTGGCTCAATAATGCTAACGCAGCGCAAGCAGGAGAGCCAACGAACATCTGGTTTCAAAACAAACATCAAAGATACAGACTAGCTGGAAGGTCTGAGTAGATCATTGGGCAAAATTAGGTATTGACTGATTCATGTATTGAATTTATTCATGAAGAACTCTGCGTAGAGATCACGCATTTACTCAATTATTCATTCAAAATTTGCTGAAGTGAACATGAGAATGGAGAAATTACATGCCGGTAATGAGAAATGTATCCATTTTCCCCTCCTTATATTGTTAGAATAATTAATTCAAGGATGATGAGATGAAACACGTATGTGGAAAATCAGAAATGCATGCAAAATTTTGGTCAAAACTTCTGAAGGTAAAACATCAGTAGGGAAACACATTTAGATTATCTTACGATAAATGTGGCTTGATTCACTGGTTTAGAACCAATGGCTAACTTTTATGGACCTGCAAGCGAACCTTCAGGTCCCTAGGGGCCTCCCGAGTAGCAGAATAACTATCAACTTTTCTAGGAAGACAATGCGCCATGGAGTTAGTAATTACATTTATAGGTCTAACATATGGTAACTTCTGAGCTTATGAGAAGTAGCGGTGGAGTGGTTACTTATCCCGCTTTATACTCTGGAGGTCTTAGGTTCGAATTTAAATTTGGAATTAACTAAGTGGAAAATTACTTCGTAGCCTCTTCAGCGGGTTCTGGGATATTACCTAAAGAAGGTCATGCTCGCAGCATATCATTAATAATTTTTATATTATTGGGCGATGTATGACCAGTGCAATTGAACTAAAAAATACATATGTAGGCATGTAAATGGAAAATGTAAGCAAATTAATGTTTTATATCGTCTTTCCGAAATTGTCTGTCATGTTTGCAACAAGTTCACCGTCAGCAATGCAGAAAGGCGTAACTAAGTGTGCTGAAGGTAAACTTACTTCCTAATAAAGTTGGTAAGTTCCGTGCTCTAAAGATACAACCGGGAAGAACTTATCTGGTATCTCCGTCCATCTGCGTGATTCGCCTTCCAAATTATACGGCGGTTTTGAAGGAAAATAGTGTTAGGTTACATCAGCCACCGGGGTCATTAAAGTGTTTGCTTTCAGTGTATCAAGTTGCCAACCAGCCAGCAAGCCTGCGAAAAAAACAAGGCCCCACATGGACAGTCAATATTACATGAAATTCATTAACATTAAAAAACTAAAGCCGTGCAAGACTCATGCTAAATATCCAAAACTAACAGGATGTCTAACAGCACAGCACTGCCCACTGCCCACGGATCAATGGCTCTGATTAATTCCAAATTTAAAATCGCAAAGCCGGGGTTAAGGATGCTGTCATCTTAGAGTTCCATAAAATGCTGGGAAGTTCTTGAGTAGCGGCACAATTGTCGGCGTCTCAAGGAGGGCTCAGCTCCATGGGTGTCATCTAGCGGAGTCGAGCTTATTTGTTGGAAACCCAACTCGTTGGCTCAGTGGGTAACATTCTTAGGTATTATCGATTGCAGGCTTACACCGTGGTTCGTTGATGATGCTGGCTTTGCTCCGGTGTCTTTCCACCTTGTGGAACTGCGTAATGTTTTGGAGGTACATACTGCTTCCATCTTGAGGGTTGCAGCGAGTACGGTGAATAAGTGACAAGCAGGCTATTCTTCCCACGTACCTACTACATATTCTGGTTCGACAGACAAATGGGACACTGGGTTCTTGTGCCCCGTCCAGGTCAACAGGGACAGAGAACACGAAAATGCGAAAAAAGAAAGAGGCGTTTTTAAAGGTCACGGAGTGTACAATATTGTTCCAAAACTGCCATATCTTCAAATGTTGACCAGGCACAAGATTTCTATATTCCGGGATATAACGCTGTGTAGTCTGTTAAAATCAACCGAAGTTCCAGAGGAATATACCGCTTCCATCCTTAGGGTCAAAGAATAAGTCTTCATCGATCCAGAAGACTGAGGTGACGTTCTGCTGGCTACCTGTTTCATGCTGGTTTCTAGCTTGGCTTATTCTTTGACCCTGAAGATTAAGGTGAACTGTACTTCTGTAACGTTGGTTGCCTTTCAACAGACTACACAAAGTTATACCCCAGAAGACACAATTCTTTATAACCACCGCTGTGAGAACCTCAAACCCTACAGGCACAATATTGCCTCCTCTGCAAGGGTCATGTTTTACTTCGGCTGGTTATTTAACAACACTGCCAGTATCGAGACTATATAGCATCAGATGACTGATGGATGTGGAGCAGATGGTGGAATGAGGACAGGGGAAACTGAAGTATTCCGAGAGAACTTGCTCCATTGCCACATCTTGATCTGGGATCAAACCAGGGCTGCAGTGGTGGGAAGTTGGCAACTTACTGCCTAAGCCGAGGAGGGTGCAAGGTGGAGTATGTACGAGTATCCCCGTTTACTGGGGCAGCTTCGCTAATGCCATTGTGTCCTCAAAATGTATACCATTTTCCTGGTTAGCTGAATATCATGGCACAGTCAAACATTCCGGATGATATAACCAGAGGTATGTCAGTCCTTCCCTCTATATAATGTCCTGTGTGTGTATATATACATCACTCACTCAAGGAGCTCAGCCCTTCTTGAAAAACTCCCAACTGTGCAGCTACTCAAGAACTTCCCAGCATTTTATGGAACCTGAAATTTCATTACTGTTTTCACAAGAGCCCTCCACTGGTCCCTATCCTGAGCCAAATCAATCCAATTCATACCATCCCATTCTCTCTCTAAGATCCAGTTTAATATTGTCCACCCACCTATGCCTTGGTCTTCCCAGTGGTCTCCTTCCTTCTGGCTTTCCCACCAATATCCTATATGCCTTCCTTTTCTCCCCCAATCATACTACATGCCCTGCCCATTTCATCTTCCTTGACACGTTCATTCTAATTATACTTGGAGAAGATGGCAAGTTATGAAGCTCCTCATAGTGTAGTTTTCTCCAGTCTCCTGTCACTTCATCTCTCTTTGGTCCAAATATTCTCCTCAGCAAACTGTTCTCACCCTTGGTCTATGTTCTTCCCTTAATGTCAGAGACCAAGTTTCACACCCATACAGAACCGCATGCAAAATTATAGTTTTGCATATTCTAATATTTTTTTAGAGAGCAGATGAAAAGACACAAGGTTACAGGCTGAATGGTAGCAAGCATTACCCAAGTTCAATCTCATCTTAATTTCCTCCTGAATCAGGTTTTGATTTGTTATGCACGCAGTTGTTCCTAGATATATGAACTGTGCCATATTTTCAAAACATCTGTTACCTATCTTTATATCCTGATTTTGCTTTGCATTTTGGTGATGAGAGAGCAACATATGCTTAATTTTCTGTGTCTAGACCAACCTCCTTACTTATTCCAAATAGAATTAATTAGCTTATGGATCTTAGGACATAATATTTCACCTCCTACTTGAATAAGTTCTGCCAGAATTTGATCACTACCTGACGTGTGTGTGTGTGTGTATATATATATATATACCTATAAGTAAAAAAGTAAAGGTATCCTTGTAGCAGACTGTGGAGGCCCATAGGGTTGTTTTCTAGACAATCGGCTCATAAATGGCGGTAAGGTTGTCAGCCTTACGCGCCGGGCACCCTTTACCCCCAAGAACATTCCAGGTACTCGTTTCTGTTAGAGGCTGAGTCGACCCCAGGGCCATAGTGCGGCTGGAAGGTTTGGGTAAACTGGGGGAAAAAAAAAAAATCCAAAGACCTCATTGGGATTCGATCCCGCAACCTTCCGGAGTGAGATAACACTCGCCCTATCAATTTCGACACTTAAGACATATGATGTAACATGCACCTCCGAAACACCGGTAAAGGTGCACTTCCACACGGTTCAAAGATCCACGAGCAGGATTAACACGATTTTATAGACTGGAAATGACGCCCTTATATTCGTGTTGATACATGGGTACATACGCCGTATACCAGATATGAAAAACACGTATTCAGATAATAACAGTGACGGTTGTAGAGCAGTTATTCTGGTGAGGCACTTCTGAAACGGAATTTTTGTCTTTTTTTCAAATATAACTTTTACGGAATTACTGTTGCATATTCCATTGTGCAATATGTGATTATAATGCAACAAGCATGTTACTGTTGTGACTTAGAAAAATCATTATGATAAAAGACTATCATTAAAACTACAGTGTTATTTACTTCATCGTCTTCAACTCTTGAAACGCAGCCACGTTTCGGAAAGAGTGCAAGAGTTTTCTAGTACCGTTCCACAATCAATACGGGAATACCAAGGCATTATCACTGCAAATATTTACCAGGTTCATGCACATTAGACACTATTCAGATCCTGTGTCTAAACCTTAGCATATTTCTCTAATATTCTAGGTTGTCAGTGGAAATATGTCCAAAAAACACTACCAATACGTCCACCTTAACGATATTTTCGCGTGATCACATCCGGTGGAATTTTTAAATAATAGACATTTTGAAATTTATACGTTTATTCGCTGTTATATCATACTGATCACAGAACACAATTTTCTAAAACGTTATTTATTCATGAGAATAATACTTCTAATGTACTAAGATTTTGTGGAAATGACATGACCAACATCACTCAATTTTCAACGACGTTAATACGTCACATCCTGATTCTAGAAAAAGCTGATACAGTGCTGCAGAGGTTAAGGAGAAGTTGGGTTGTGTGTAAAGAGCCATAGCTATATTGTGTTACATTTGTTTCAGTTACTTTGAATTGGTATATAATTTTATAAGATCTGATATATATAAAATTACTTCATAATGCCAAGACGCGGAAGATCTAGCCCACCACCAAGGTAAGGGATTTCCATGCTTTTACGAATAAACGATGATTAGGGTGTAGCATAATAAATTTGTATTTTTCTCGTAAGTATAATGAAACTAGATTTAATAATTAACAAACATCTCTTGGTATGGCTTCTAATGAAAGAAGCAACAGAAAGAACTGGTAGGTTTGTAGGTGATGAAATTGCCAGTTTATTTGTGAAACGCAAGTACAAGCTGTCCCAAAAGCACTCGCCTCTCAAGGATTTTTAAATCATTTTGCATTTGGGAATGAAATAGCGAATAATTTCATAAAGAAGTTTGTTGCCATCATGAATGCAGCGTGTATGAATGACAGTGTAAATAGCTTTTTCCTGGGAAAAAAAAAAGATGTATAATTGTAGGTAGAATGATTAATATTTCTTAATATACGCGGTGTTATGTACGGAATAGTGGTATGAATTGCACTGGCGACTTATGTTGTTGATTGTCTTTGCTCTGTGACATCCTGTTTAATGATCCCCCGAAGCACAAGTTTCACAGGTTGAAAGTTAGGGGCTATGTGGGGGCCAGTGAAGTGGAGTGATTACTTATTCTGACTCTACCAGTACATCCTTCTTAAAAAAATTGTTGCAATGTTTATGAGCCGCCAGAGCATAATGTGGAGGTGCCCAATCATACTGAAACAGGAATTCATCTCGGATACAGTTGTGGAAGAAACCGTTCATGAATCATCTGCAGGTAATTGCTTTGTTACAAATGCAGCAAATAAATAAGGTCCCATTGAGTGTCTTGCACGAAATTCTACTCAGATCATGACGTGGAGAATTATTTTCAATATTTTGAAAAAATCAGGGTATATTTACCCCAAAATGCACTATTTCTGGGATGACTGCTTCTGTAAATTGAACATTCATGACTGAACAGGATTTTTTGCATGAAGTTAATGTCAAGAACATTTGAAGCACAAGCTCACAGGCCAGGCTTCTTTGGTCCATGTAATCATGTAGCTCATTCACAAACAGATGGTAGGGATGCATGTGATCTCTTTGCAAGTGTTACTGCAGACTTGATTTTGATATTCCCAGTTCTGAAGAGCATTTGCATAATAGTTTCATCACTGATGTGAGGTTTCCATCACTTCTTCTGTCTAGTGTGTCTGACGTTCGCAGTATTCCTGAATGTGAAGCCTCCGTTTTTATCTGTCATGGAATAACTTCATTTCCAATGCAAGGACTGCCAGCTACAGTTGAGGATCTTTATGAAAATGCCCTTGAAAGTGTTATAAAAATTCTTATAGAGTTTTCCCATTGATCTGCTCTTCTTGCTTCCAGACAGCTATTATTAATATTACTATCATCGTAAAAGGTCTTTTGTCAGTCGTTTCATTTATCTGAAATAATATATAACAGGCACAACCTATAAATACATTTGAGTAACAAAGTTAAGAAAGTGCACAAAGATCCAATATTGGATGTACTCAGTAGTTGGTAAATTAACTTTGGGACAGGCTGTACATGCAGCTCAAATATCAGTACAGCTAGTCTTAAGGAATAAATAAAGTTCAGAATGTGTTGACGGTGTTCCCCACTGCATCATGGTAAACTCTGCTTGAAAGATTATGAAGCTGTAGGGTTTCTGAAACAGCAGAGCTCCAGGAATTCACCCACAAATGCTGTTGAACCTATTGTAAATGAAGACAGCGAAGTAGACAGCAACATCAATGGTGGATCAAGTGACATGTCAGAAAGTGAAAGTCTGTGAGGAGACATTGGAAGAGCACTGAAGACTATAAAAGTAATTAATATTCTCTGTAGTGTGCAGTGATTTGTAATGTACTGAAATCAGCTTTCCTCTCCTATATAATTTGGTGATAGAGAATTTTATTTAGAGTGTCGTGTATGTGGCCTGCTATAATCACTTACAGCAAACTTGTGGTAAGTGACTCCAAGGTTCCAGTACGCAGTTCAGAAACCAGAAATTCTGATGTTACTTATAATAAAGAAACTTGACCTAACCAGGAATGAGCACTTGTATGTGATCAAAAGCTGCCCTGGTAGCATTTGTGGAATTTTGATATCCAAGAGTAGAAGGTGGATGGCCAGAGTAATCATATGGAATGTGTGGGGCATTGTATGATCAGAAATTACTTTCTTGCCGAAATTATGTGTGATGTTGAATAATGCCATAGGTCATCAAATGTGCCAGCACGTACATCGCCCACGTATTCTCAGCCAGCCCCACAGCATGCAATGCCTCAGCAACCAGCAGTGGTGCAGCAGCAGCAGCCTGGATTATTGAAACAGATGGCTGCAACAGCTGGAGGAGTGGCTGTGGGATCTGCAGTGGTTGGTTGTTCAGGAAATTTGTAGCTAAGTACAGTGTAATCCCTATTTAACATACCTTTCTGGACCAGTGATTTTTAACATTAAACTGAGGAAAATCATAAATGGAAGTAATTAGACTCTTATCTTTTAAATTGAATGTTAATGAGTGTAAACCTTAAATCAAGGGACACTAAATTGGGGTTCCACTATACTTCAAATGAAAAGGGAATGAAGGCAGTGTGAGAGGTGGAGAAGTAAGGTTTTGATCTAAATGTACAATATAATGTTGGTTGTTGGATCACGTCATAATTTATGTTGATTTTTTTTGGCCGTAGACCAGCTGTTCTGGCTGAGACCTTTAATAGTCATCTGGTTATTTAACCCGCCTGTATGAATGGCCTGAACTTGTTTACATTCATCTCAGTTTCATTTCTTTACCAAGGATCATGAATTTCTACCATGTACAGAGAATATTAAGTTTGTTGTTTTGTTTAAACATAAAGTTCCTTAACTAGAATTAAGGAATTTTCAGTGATGTATTCATTTTGCAATTGTAGATTGCCACTTATAATGAACTATAACATTTTAAATACATTGAGATAGATAATATTTTCATGCTGTATTTTAATGGTGTGTATAATATTTGCTGTACATCAGCAGTACAGTATGCTTCTAGCGTTGAAGCACATTATAGATTGCCCCTGGTGACATACAGAACATGTAAGGCCATATAATAAAAAGTAGAAAAAGGTAAAGTTGCCCCTGTGCTTAACTAATTAAGCACTGTGCCATGAAAGTTTATGGGGAAGTGGATGAATAGATCCACATTTTCTTGACCTTGGCACTAGCTGGAGGTGAGTGGTTGGCATTATGCCCCTGCTGTTTTATACCTCCCCGGAGAAAAAGCCCCCCCCCCACACATTGGATAGGAGGCTGGGTGGGCCCCAGAATTGGTCTGGATGATAGGATGGGAAAATTCTGACCCTACCAGGACTTGAACTTCGACCTTTCGGTTGTCCAGCCCATAGGCAGTTGCTATACCGACTGTGCTACCCCAGGTCATCCTAGGGTCCTATAATATGTTGAATATTGGATATGGATTAATAAGACAACAGTATGACTATTAGTGTTAACAGACAACAGTCATTCAGCCACTAATCTGAAATTACTCTGTGGTATCGTAATACTGAGGAATTTTTTAGCCCTGTATGATAATTGTGGATTTCGACCTTTCGGTTGTCCAGCCCATAGGCAGTCGCTATACCGACTGTGCTACCCCAGGTCATCCTAGGGTCTTATAATATGTTGAATATTGGATATGGATTAATAATACAACAGTATGACTTTTAGTGTTAACAGACAACAGTCATTCAGCCAGTAATCTGAAATTACTCTGTGGTAGCGTAATACTGAGGAATTTTTTAGCCCTGTATGATAATTGTGGATATTTGCTGCAGGGTCACACTGTAGGGCATGCTTTGACCGGAATGTTCAGTGGTGGTGGTGGTTCCAATGAAGTCCAGCAGGCAGGAGCTGCTCCTGCCCCACAGCAGCAAGGATTGTATGAAGCACAACAACGGGAGCCAACTGGACCTTGTGCTTGGGAGATTAAACAGTTCTTACAGTGTGCACAAGGCCAGAGTGATCTGACACTATGTGAAGGATTCAACGAAGCCTTACGCCAGTGCAAGCAAGCCCACAGTAAGTAATACTGACGTTATGTTGCAGGTATTGGGGAGAGAAATCTCTGAGTGTGTAGTGATCTGGTTGTGTAGCTGGGCAAGGAGTGTGTTCAGAATTCTGGAGGTGAAACATCTGGAGAACTAGGGCCACAGGAGGATAATGTAGTGGTTGATCCAAGGGAAATAGGTTGAGAGTTTGGAAGGTGGTTGGAATTGACCGAGAATTATGCCTTTGTTCTAGCAGTGTTGAAGAATGGGATTAAGTATTGAATATTGTGCACCCTGTTGTCTCTCAGAAAACATTCAGGGGTAATGGTATTTAGATCAAACTAGCTTGGTAAAATAACAGCTGCAGGCTCTTGTGTACATGGTTAAGAAATTCTGGGATCCTGGAAAGCAACGAAATGACAGTGAACTGATAAAGAAAGATTGTATATAGTTGAAGAATGTTTATATGTTGTTTTAACATGATGGCCAACTACCATGTTCTGTAATTAACTCTGACTAAGAACTAGAGGTTCAGTATGGCTAATATAACAGGCAGTCATTGGATGTGACTCTCAGCCAGTACAGTCAAATTTACATCCATAACACCTGGTTTCCACGTATCGTATAATGTGTCCATGGCCACGTGACAACTTAAGAACCACTTCACAGATTTTCGTCAAATTTTGTTTGGGGGAATTTTAACAAAGTTTGTGGAAGCATTAGAATTGTGATTAAATCAGACAATTACTGAAACATCTGATGACCACATATTTCTGCAAATCCAAAGCATAGTTCAGCTGTAACTCACTAAATGTTTGTCAGATATTTACCAGTTAGTTCAGAATTATGTTCTGATAGTTGAAATTTTAAAAACTGGGGCATCAGTGCGGTACTGTAATGTATGTTATGAATTTGGGGGGAAATCTGGTAGTAGGTTGAAGGCTGGACTACTAGGGTTAATTTCTCAGGACAGGATTTTTCTCTGTTAACACATTCAGACCTGCCTTCTGTCGAGTGGCTATTATTGGGCTCTTTCCTCAGGGATGCAGTGGCTAGTAGTATGTGAAGCTGATCATCTATCTCATCTGGTGCTGAAGTTAAAAATTTGTAGACCTTTTTACGTCTGCTTTCTTTCCCTTTATATACTTTCTTGGCATGGAGCATACACAGAGCTTAGACATAGAGAAAATGTGTTGGTTCTTCTTGTGCTGTGCATGCAACATGCATATGTTCTAATGATGTTTTCCTTTTGTTTCAGGCTTGTAATTACGTTTTCTGTAGTTCCTGATTTTAGGCTATATTATCAGATGAGTTTTCTGCAGCTAAATAAGCAACATAGGAAGACCATAAATGATGTTTATAAAAGAGCTCTGTACTTTTCAAGTTTGGTGTAAATAGTAGTATCAGAAATGCAGTATGTAAGCTAGAGGAATTAAATCTGTTGATATGCTTAGTTTTAAAAAAAATTTTGGCTTCAGTCATGAATTTGTTTCATTAGGGGGTTCTGAATAAATGTTTACCCTGAAGGCAAGTTTTATTTAAACTGTGTGGAGGTTTGAAATTTGTAACCTCTTATGTACACAGAAGATGTGTTTCTGTATGTATGTGAGAGGAGATTTGGTAAAGCCAAGAATGAGATGGTATGTGGTTAGAATATGAAGGAATAAATGAATTAATTCATATTGAAGTAAACTGATAGAAAGATGTACCTTGAATTACTATATTAGGACACTTAACAGCATGAATGCGAGAGCTGACCATCTCCGATTCAGAGTCATATTAAGATTGGTTATCTGCATATGCAGTACATGGTATCTTATAGCAGAATTAGTTTGTAACTGGATATTTAACAAATAAATTGAAGTCTGTATCTATTCCATGGGAGTATTTTTTTTAATGAAGTCTGTTCTTTTATATGGTTGTTGGTCATGATGATTTATTCATGTATATAAATTGACAAGAAGAGGAACTTTCTCTCAGTTTGTGGTATCGTTACAAATTATATTAAAGTTTACTTCAAATTTATTTGGGTATTTGAAGTATTGTTCTTTAAAAGCCCGTATCTTGTTTATGTATAATTACAATTAAAAGTGTTTTGTTTTTAATTTTCAGACATTTTTAATCAGTGGCATGTGAACTGTTTAGAGACATGAAGAAAGCCTGTCATTCATTTAGGAGGGAGGTGTTGTACAGTATTTTTATTGAGTTTGTTATAACCATGAAACCATTTGGGCTAATTAAAACATACAAAGGTAAACGCTATCCTTTTAACGGGCTGTGAAGGCCCATGGGGCTGTGAGACATCGAGGCTCACAGAATAGGGAACAAAATTATCTTCCATGCTACATGGTGTCCTAGGACGGCTGAAGAGGCTTAACCTTTAACGGCCGAATGTTATAATTATTCACATCAAATAGCACCCCGAGCTGGCCGAATGTTATAATTTTTAGGGACAAGCCACGTGCTTCCTTTGTGAGTGCTGGCAGTTTGACCTTGGCTTTGAAACCCAAACAAACTCATGAACGTTCATGTCAGATGTTTATTTGTTAGCTCTGAACAATGAAATCGTTTATCAGGGTACTGGTTTCGAAACTATTTACGTTTAGATATGACTGTTTATGACCTGGTGAGCCAATAGAGGTCAGCTTTGTTTTGAGAAGTTAGAGGAGGAAATATTCGTAAGCACTTTCATAGCAGTGCTGCCATAGCTTTCAAGGAAGTGTGGCTCATTCAGGGATTGGTTTGCAGTGTTGAATTCTCAGTTAGGACGTCAGTGGCGGATTTACTATATTTTGTTAAAAGTTAGGAAGTCAGTGTCAGACTCCTGTATTTCTTTTATATCATTTTTATTGTGTATCTCGGAAGTGGTATAAATACACTGAGCCAGTGTTACTTTGTGCGTAAAGACATCTTCGTCACCGTGACTTTCGGTATCAGTGGCGGACTGGCACTTTTCGACTGCTTTTGCAATTACTTTGCATCACAATTTTGCGAGTATTCTTCCACCTACTAGACATGTCTGTTCTCAATGAATATCTGTTACACAAGTCATGTGATGGAAAAATGACGCACAAAAATTTCCGCGAAATTTTGGTGCGTGATTTGATTCTTCAATCACATGAGGCGAATATCATGGTCAGTGGTGTTTTTCGAGGGAGGCCAAGTTCATCTGGGGCCCAACTGAGTCGACTGGAGGTGAAACATTCAAAACACTGACCAGCTAAAGGGAAACAAAGACGTTTGTTCTATAAACAAGAAAATCGGGAGCACGCTTTACCGCTGTAGAGTGTGATGTCGCGCTGTGTGATGGACTGCTTCGAGAGTGGGACACGCGCGTCAGAGTGAAACTGTGAAGCGATGCAGTCCAACCCGTGTACAGTCCGAACCAAATATTATTGTATATAGTGTCGTCATATTTACATCGCCACCACGATTCAAGGTTGAAGAAAAACAACATGTAAGTCCTTTGGAATTTCATAACGTATATAATAATGATTATATTTTGCACTTCATGACAAAATACTCACAGTTGATTTTCATTTGTAAAACTTGCCCTTTTGTATATATGTAGAAAATTTTATTGTCTTTCAGGTTCTTTTTAGTTCATAATCCGATGTTGCATAGAACGGAAAATATGCATTTTTTTCTGAAAGTTTGCAATGTTAAAGACTTAGGGCCATTTAAATTCCGGCCGTAGGGAGCTGCAGGCAATTTAAAAGTCCGTACGTTAAAGGTTAATAAGACTGTTCACTGAACAAGTTTAGAATTAGGCTTGCCTTGTTCAATTGTTTGTAATGTTTTATACAAAAGACCAAAATTGTGCCTATGAGCTTCAGGCATGCAGTCCTCTTTCTTCTGTGCGGAGTACATTTAGTCAGCTGAAGCAGAACAGGGTGGGTCAGAGCTGATCTACATGTGTATATAAGCTAACTTGACCAAATAGGAAAACAAACTTGGAGAGTTACCACTTTACATGAAAATGTTTGTAACTTAATATCTACTTTCATTTTGTATGTTTTATTGACATAAAGGATCAGGCATCCTGTATTAAAATGGATCTTAAAGAAACAGGAGTGGAAGGCATGGACTGGATTTAGCTGGCATAGGATAGAGAATAGTGGTGGGGTCTTGTGAATAATAGTGTTTCCAAATTCTTGACATTAATCTTAGGGATTCAGGAATGAGAAATGGCAGTTCTTGGAAATTCCCAAAACCATAAAATATTCCGTATTTTTCATAACACTTCATTTACATGTTTTAAAATACTAATAATAATAATAATCTATGATAGGGTTATATTAAAAGATTCAGAGGTTTCATGCAAAAGAAAAAAACTATAAGTGCATGGTTGTTTAATATGAACTAATATGTTGTGACAAGATTATATAATTTAGTAACATGCAAAACAGATCCATAGACATTTGATAATAGAAAACATTACACGAAGTGAACATTAACACAAAATAAATGCCAAATAAAAATCATTTAAAAAATTGAAATATATTAGTAATATCACAAATATTTAAAAGTTACCATTCTTAAAATTAAATCTTAAAACACATAAAGCATTAATTGCCCTACCTGATAGTTTTGATCTTTATTTCATGACAGATATTCCAGACAAAAATTTTTCATTTTGCATTGACGTTAGAATAGTTAAGAGTGGTCCAAAAGCATCTTCAAGTTGGGTGTTAAAGAGTATATGTTGCTTCATGTAAGCTCATTTCCTTTTTTTAAAAATTAATTTTTGTTTTATTTGCCCTGATTTTGGTTTTGCCATTGAAATTGATATTTTTTTTTGCTAATTCAGATTTTAGGTCAGTTTCTGGTTTGTTTCATGTCAGAGTATTTCACAGCAACAATCTTCTCTTTGTGTTTCTTTTGTTAATTACATTTTTCTGAAAAAATCCTTGACTTGGTTCCATTTTTACTCTTGATTATTTCCAACTGCAAAAGAGAATATTTCACTGGAGTATATTTAAACTGTTTTACAATATTTTTTATACTAAAAACTACTGGACAGACACAGCAATATCGAATCAGAATCCAAACCTACCATCCACAAAGTATGTATCACTTTGCTACTAACAAAACAATTTGAATTAAGAGTTCAGTCTTCTGGTGTGTACCAGCGCCATCTTCAGGATTGAAGAGAAACCTGTATGAAGCATGCAGCAAGCAGATGAATGATTCATTGTTATAACGGCTCTGTGGTCTCATCACGAGAAAGTAAGGGTCTCCCTTTGCAACTGTCCACACACCTGATCCCCTCCTCTCCTCTCACAGGTGCACCTAGAGTGAAGAAAAAACTGCAAAAATCTGTGTCAGAATCTCATCATGAACTCGAAGAGGGTTCAATGCCTAGACAACATGGATCAGTCAAGGGGCTGATCGAAATGGACCCTGACTGCTGAGGAAGCAGAGTTCTTCTACACAACTTTAAAATCACAGAAGCTACCACTGTGAAAATCTCAAATCCTACAGATTTTGAAATGTCCTGATATGTTGTAATTGCACTGAATGACTGACAATCACAGTTCAACACATTTTTCCCTCACCTGCTTGCCAGCAGCAAATATGCAAAGGAGACCAACCTTATTTACTGGTGCTGGGCCAGATATGCTAAACATGTTACATTTGCACAGTAGGCTACTGTGCATTCATTGAAAGATCAGGAGGTTGTGGGAGTGATTGTGCAGCAGAATCTGTTACAGTGTACCCTTTTAGCTGAAGTAAAATTACTTTCTGAGAAATGTCTGCTGCACAAAATTTATGGTACAGTATTCTAGCAGAATAGCAGAAGTGCAAGATAACCCAGCTCTTTCTGCCTATACCACAGCCCTGCAGACTATTACTTATTGTCTCAAAACCTTGAAATGAATCACCAGTAAACATTACAAATATGGTGCAGATGCTACATTGTGGGGTTAACTTTAATACATTTAATGCAGGCACTGGTTAAAATTAATTTCTTCGTTGGATTAAGGAACAAACAATAAAGCAACTACATCATGTATTAAAACAGACATACTGTGTTGAATCCCTGTGAGGGTGTAAGAATTTGAATCCTCTGTGCTCACTGGATGACATGAACACACAGGCAAAGCATTTTTTAGTTTTCCCCATTTATCCTGCAAGAAATGGTACAAAAATTATAACATCTTAGCAACACTTTTTGACTTCATGCATGTTTTTAATTTCATTCGACGTAGTAAGCACAGTTCATATAAAACATAACATGCTGATGTCACTTAATGCGTAAACGTCGAGTCTTGTTTCGCATCATAATATCAAAATCCGTGCTTAACAATTAACTGAATTACGTAACACCATCACTTATACCACTACAACGAACGCCTCCAACTGAAATTGAGGGTTCTGTGATTGGTTCACACTTATGCGATTCAATACAGTTCGATACGTTTCGATAGGTGTATTGTGATTGGCTCCCGACCAAGCAGACTATATAGTTCGGAGCAGATGCGTAGAGATGGCATATTTTTCCATGTGTCCCTTCTGCTATTTCACTGAAGGCCGGATGGGAATTGCCTATGCCATTTTTGTCAATAATTTATTTTCAGCAATAGCAAGACTGCAGCTATCTCAGATTCTCCCTTTGTCCCCTGGTGCGACCTATGAAGCATAGGTGCTTTGTATGATATGCCATCTATGGAGGAATTCCATTACTACCAAATTGATCCTCCAAAAATTTCTCCTTATCGATACAGAAAATATCGATTACATCGATTTTCCGATCGATATTCATTGTCGGAAGATGGTGACGGACGTGAACGTAGTCATTTGTGATCAAGAAAAGCTCATGTTGAAAAAGGCGGTTGTATTTCTGTTCTCATTGTGCTTTGTAACATATTGAAGATGTACAGATGGTTAGAATCTGTGCATGAAAACTGTGCCTCGGAATGAAGTAGTTACATCCCATTTTTCTTTTCCTTTTTTTTAGTGTATAATAAGATAACAAGTTGTGTGAAATATAAAATTGTAAATGTTCCAATATCAGTAACTCTGAGTTAACCTTAAAATATGGAAACGTCAAGTGAAGTAGAAAATTTCAACAGAAAACCCGACGGTGAAGAAGGCGGTAACTCTTATTTCAGTTCTGTCCGTATTTTTTTCAACTTCCATACTGTTTAAGTCATGTTTGGTTTATGCATATAAATTTGTTGCAGATCTGAATTCGGAAGTGCAAGGTCTGTTGAGGAGAATTGAGAAATTGGAGGATGAAAAACAACAGATTCGTGAGGAATTTGGCCACCAGCGAGCCAAAATGAAAGAGCTGTATTTACAGAAAGAAGGTAACTTTATTTTGAAGAGTGTTTGTGATTACCTGTATTATCTTAAACATTTTCCCAATCTAACAGGTACGTACACCATGGTCAGTGGAAGCAATGAGTTGCTGTTGGAATTATATTCCTTACATTGGAATTATTTGTATTTTATATATAAGAGTACCATAAGTTTTGACATCAGTTTGTAATGTCATGTGGTATGTTGTACGGTGCAATGATCTCGAATTTCCATCAGATTGGTAGCTGCTTATGTAGAAGATGCTTTTGCAGCCTTGTAGGTCTGTGGAGTACAGCACGGTGAGAGTGCTGTCTGGTATTTGGAGAAAGTTCAACCATAGCACCAATTTTATTATTACTAGAAACAAAAAAGAAAAAATCGAATCAAAATGCCGAATTCCCACTGGAGAGAAACTGTTGAAAACAATACTAGTGCATTGTCCTTGAATATGTCTTCCATGATTTGCATAAGAGACCAGGATTTTATATTTAAAATCTACCCCCTTTCCAAAAAGAGCTTCACCATGTATATGTATACTTCTTATGGAAGTTCTAGGAATATTTATGTGACAACAGAGAATTTAGAGTATGCTACAATCTGGTAGGTTTTAAATGTAATGTGTTTGACTATGACTTGTTGCTTCTGCTAGCAGAATCTTGATGACCTGACTGGTCAGGAGAACCATCTGTCACTTCCCCTGAGCAGCTCAGCGATTTATTTGAATCTTTAAGATGGTCAAAATGTACATAATTACTGTCTGGTATATGTATTTACTATAAAATTATATAAGGTTTATTACTTTTGAGAAGTTTGATTTTATGGTTACAGAGGAACTGAAACGTGGGGCTGTAGAACAAAGTCGATTGCTGGCAGATGTAAAAAGACTAAGCTCAGAATTAGATGAGGCAAAGAGTCAGTTAGTTGTTGCGGGATTCCGTATGGAGAGTGATCTACAGGATGAAAAGCGGAAATGTCATGAAGAAATTGCTTCTCTCCAGCAAATTGTGCAAGGTATAATAATACATTGCAGATTACTAAGTGAAGTAAGTCATATTGATTGGTGATTTATGGGTTTAAAATCAGCTGAGTTGTACTTGTTTGCTACCATCAACATATTAACCAACTCTCATGTAGCATTAGGTTATGGCTTGAATGTGTATTTTGTATTACAATAGGAGAGGCATTATGTTACATATCCCCCGTATCCTGAAACAGAGTCACATTTAGTGGATCCCTTGTTACTGTAATATGACTTGTCCTGAAGTTGTGATGGAGAAGACAGTCTACAGACATAATATGATTTTATGAAGGAAGGACATCAGAAAGAGAACATGAAGAACAATTTTACTTTGTGTTAAACCTTTTTGTGGTCAGCTTTCTCCCACACATCTGTTGCTTAGGTCATATTTGTGGTGTATTACAAACATATGTCTTTGAACACTAACTATGTTTTAACACAATTGTTGCATCTGTTTAGTCCAAAATTATTACTGATTCATATAAGATAAATCTGTGTAACAGGCCGTGAAAGCCCATAGGGTTGTGAGATGTTGAAGCACCCACATTTTCTAGACAGTCAGCTCACAGATGGTGGTGAGGTAGTCAGCCTTATGTGCTCCCCACCACAATTCCTGGTACTTATTTCTGTTAGAGGCTAAGTCCACACCAGGGCCATAGTGTGGCTGAAAGGATTAGGTAAATTGAAAAATCCAGTGACCTCATTGGGACTCAGACCTGCTGCCTCCAGGTTTGTAGCATAATGCCTCAATAGCTATGCTGCAGTGTGCCCCATTACTGATTCATATAAGAATAGTTTTTATGCATGGATGGACAAGTACTTTTTTGATCACTTTGATTTTTCTGGGAACAAAGAATAGCACATTTCAGAATATTACAGCTGCAGATTGTTACATTTCTTTATAACAGAAAATGAGCACTCTGTTGGTGATAGCCAGAAGATGGCATAGCCAGAAGATGGCAGAATATAGTGCTGTAATGATTTGCAAGATATGTACATATTTGAATATGACCAACTGCCAGCTTTTTCATGTTATGAGGAGTCTGTTGACAATATTGTACCGAGAATATACGAAGAGGTGTTTTGTTGTAGTTCATATGTTCAAACATGATTGTATTTATTTTGTGTTAGTTATCTAACACTTCAATGTTTCCTTTTATTATTGCCATATAAATTATTCTTTCTACATTTCCCAAGAACATTGTTCAATCTTCTCCATCAAAACGAAACACTACTACTGTGGCTTCCTGCAGCAGTGTGATTTATAGGTCTGCAATATGATTGGTCTGTTTCAGTAATTGTGATTGTGTTAATCTTGTATAATTGAATGTATTAATTACATTATTTCACTTTCATTTTGTTCTTGTTTTTGCAGCTTGGCTTGTGGATATATTTTGTCTGTATATGTGATTCACTTATTGACATGGTTTTATTTCATCTTGTTATGGAATAGAAACAGTTGAAGAATCAAGTAGCTCCCGTAGCAAGTATGAATCTGAAGTGAAACAACTCAGGAAAGCATACGAACGACTAGAATCAGAAAACCACGAGTTACGATCGCTGTTGCAGCAACAGCAACAACAGCAGGGGACAGCTGATAAAGGGGAAAAAGAAACCCCAATCCTTGCACCAGGCATTATGCTTTCAGCTGTAACAAAGACCTTGGCTCGAAAAGTTGTCAGTCAGCTTGGTGCTGATGCCTCTTCATCATCGCAAGACAGTCTGGAAGATAGTATGCGGAAGGTAAACAAATATGTACGTAACTCATCCACCTGCTTTTCATATAATTCACATGCACTCATTAGAAAAGTCGTCTGGATAAATTGCTGGTATGTTGTTAATTGTAGCTTGTTACATACCATATTTGATCAGATAATTTGTGTGGTTGTTATAACGAATTCTGCGATAAAAACTTAGTTGTGTGATTTACATGAGAATTTATGTAACTGGTCTGACATAAACAAAATGTTGCTGTTCAGCCTGTCTGTAAGACCAAATCATTTTCCCTGAAAAGCTTTGTGTATTTTATATGTATGAAAAAAAAAACTGTTACGTTTAGCTGACTTTCTTTCTTAAGAAATGAAGTAGGTTTATGAAATCACCATGATTTGTGTGTGTTTGAGCCCCTTTTCAACTTGTGAATTAATTAAGAAATTTTCGCAGCATTTGGGATGAATGTTGTCTTTTGAATCTACCTCTGAACATGCACTTCTTAACTCATCCACCCTATGAAACTTTTTTATAGGCAGTACCTCTGTCACTAGAAAATTTTTACCAAAATTATCTGTAGTATATATCAATACTGGTTAAAAATTTATCCACAAGATGTCACTATAATATGTCAAAGAGTTTTTTAGAAGGCCATGGCAGAGTAAGGAGAACAGCTGCTGCTGGATGAATCACTAAGATGAGTGAACATAGTCTTCCATAGACAAAATTTTTTCAATGGGAAGCCAGAAAGTTTGCTTACATGCTTGTGTTTAACAGATTAAGACTATTTTTGCACGTTGTCTAGAATATTGTCATGTGTATGAGTGACTATAGAGGGGGTTTGGATTGGTAATTTGATTTATTGGCCACTTACAGATTGTAAGTACAAGTAACTGTAGCACTATCATCAATTCACAACAGCACACACTAAGTCTTTTCAATCTTCTGTGTCTTCACCAGTCATTGTCTGGTAATGGCTTCCAGTGCCGTAGCTTCCTCACCTTCTGTGTTCATGCCCTTACTGACTGGCAACTATCTCCAAACTATATTATATTTAAGCATCCTGTTGCACTATACACTTCTACATGTAATAATACAAATGCCATTGTGAATGCAACAATTTATTTTGGTTGTAGTTCTTTGTCTTTTCTTCCTCTACACTACATGTTTCGGCTGTAACTGGCCATCATCAGGTGTATTTTCCACTATGTAGCTGTCACACTGCACACAGTCCAAAATCTAAAACACCAGCCTGTCAGTTTTGTTTAAAATCTCGTCAACATACGCTCATCAATTTGATTTTAGAATTCCAGTTTAAAATTAAAATTTTTTAAAACTTTAAATTTTAAAAAAATTTAAATTTAAACTGGAATTCTAAAATCAAATTGACGAGCGTATGTTGACGAGATTTTAAACAAAACTGACAGGCTGGTGTTTTAGATTTTGGATTGTGTGCAGTGTGACAGCTATGTAGTGAAAAATACACTTGATGATGGCCAGTTACGGCCAACGTGTAGTGTAGAGGAAGAAAAGACAAAGAACTACAACAAAAATAAATTGTTGCATTCACGACAGCATTTGTATTATTACATATAGATCTCCAAACTAATCAGACTCTATAGACTTGTCCTGCTTGTAACCTCTTGGCATGGACTGCTTGGGAAACATCTCCCCGAGCAGTTCCCCTGTTGTTGCATCATACAGCTACTGCCCAGACCACATAGAGAACACTGCTTCCCAGACAGTCCATTGGTGCATGTTAGGAATCTGTTGCATAGCATTGGGCGTTGTTTATGGGGACATTACTTAGCACTGGGTCTGCATTATACAATAATTTTATTGTTCATATTTGATTATATTTGCTTCTTTCCTTCAATTTTGATTTTTTTACAAATGTGCCTGAGGGATGGGGCTTAATGTTTGGTTTGCCTCTGTACTGGTGCCCATTAAGACACCTGAAGATGGCCATCTATGGCCGAAACATGTTGTGTTAAGTGTTAAATGGTGAATAAACAATTGTTTAATTATTGATGGACTGTGGATACATAGACGTCTAATTAATGATTTGCAACAGGATGATGAAATACAGATTTATAATTTTCTTAATTTATTTGTGACTAAGTTCCTTAAAATTCACTTCTTCGGTAAGTTGCGTTAGTGCATTTGTATCTGTGGTAAAGTAGTCTAAATACTTTGTATTTTAATGTACCTTCCAGTAAGAGACTGACTAAAATTGGAGCAAGTTTAATTCACTGATTACAACAGTGATCCCATATTGCAGTGCTTCTCCACTGGTGTTCTATGGGTCATTGTGAGTCTGCAGCATATTATAGACTGGTCTGCACATTATGTTTGGTGTTGTTACATATATATATATATATATATATATATGAGACTGCCTCTGTGGTCTGGTGGTCAGAGTTAATGGCTACAGATCCAGAGGTCTGGGTTCGATTCCCTGCGGTTTCAGATTTTCTGAGAAGTAGGGGGTCTGTCATGGGGTCCACTCAGCCTCGTGAGGATAATTGAGAAGCTGTTTCAAGGAAATAGCTGCTCCGGTCTGGGAAAACAAAATTAATGGCCATGGGGATTTGTTGCGCTGATCACATGACACCCTCTATCTGCTGAAGTTGGCACTAACTTCACCGACAAGCAGCGGTAGCTCAGTCGGTATAGTTTGCTTGCAGACTAAAATCATGGAGTTTTTTTTTTGTTTTGCTTGTGATATATGTACATTCTTACTATCCATATATTGCATTACTATGATGGTGCATGTGCAGGTCTTGGCAGGCCTGCTATCATGCTGTTTACACTATAAATACTGTTTACATCAGTTTTCTTGACTTCTCGCTGAGGGAACTATGGGGAAGGGAGTAGTGGCTGCTAGGATGCCGTGCGTATGTGCTGCTCTGTCAGAAAAAGAACATGCTTTGGCAATGTATAGTAGTCTAGCGAGAATGGAACAAGAGCACAGAACTTGGGTAATTCTTTTACTTTTATTATTTGATGACATTGTAAGTATTGAGACTGTATAGCACTGGTGATAGGATGATTAATGAATATGGAACAGTTGGTAGAATAAGAATTGACATGAAAAACTCTAGTATGTGGGAGAAAACCTGCCTCAGTGCCACTGTGTTCAGCACAAATCCTCCCTGGGGTCAAACCTGGGCTGCCACGGTGGGGAGACAGCAACTAACTGCCTAAGCTGTGGCACAGGCCCCTGTATACCTGTCATTTCATACTTAGTTCCTTTCCTCAGCAGGACTAGGGAGTGCCAAGCTCAGGAAAACTGATGAAGCCAGTAGCATAGCATATAGGCTAAAAGTGTGCCACAGGCACAATAGTAGGAAGACGTTAAGATCCCTTATTCCCACTGAAGGATATTTATGGTTTCACACAACTTGTAAAATGATTACTTTACAGATAGCAAGTTTTTGTTTTTATTTGCATTTAACATGTTGAGCCTCGCTTTTTTTTACTTTTTTAATGTGAAATCAACACAGCAGCTGACGACCACCCTGAATTTCAGTGAAATTGTGTATAACTACAAAATATGATCAGTAAGTGATAAATGTGAAGTTTTATCTTCCTGTGCCAATTAATTTCAAAGTTATTACATTTTGAAGTTTTATGTTTTCTTTTTTTTAACTTTTCCCATGCTCTGATTCACTGAAAGTATTCGAATCCTGGTCCTATTTAAGAAGGAGAGCTCATTCTTGTGCAGATTTAAAGCTCTTAAGTAGGGTGTTCATTTGATATGCTACTCATAATATTTTAGAGCACATGAACATTTTGACCCATGATGTGGTGAAAAAGTGCCATACAGCATACATACCATTAAATTTAATTATAGCAAAGGATGATGAAACTTCTTGATTTTATACTGTGAGGCAGTCCCATCAGAAAAATAGTAATCTTAGTTGGATCTGCCAATTTTCCATGAAGTTAACTGTGTAATTTACTTTGAAACAATTGCATAGCTACATTGTCTTGTTTTGAGAAATCTGATGTAACAAGAAAATGATTGTGCTGTGTCATTTCATTCTGTGAATAATAAGCCACAAATGGACTGAGCTTTGAGTATTGTTCCGATGAAAACCATGTACATTGTCCTGTATGATGAAGACATATTTTCAGAGAAATCACAAATAACAGCAGTTTCTCCAGTTTAAATTTCAACTTCAGTTTCTTATAGAGACATGGATGCTATCATGTTATAAAAGAGTGATGGAGCAGAATGTTTACATTTTCAGGAAAATACTTGAGAATGTCATTGCAAGATTATGCAGTTGTCTCCAAAGTTGATTTGTTAGTAGTCATCCACTGTCTCTAGATTGTGTGTATTGTTGTCTTCAACTCTCCTATTAGTATTCATGATTATGTTCTCAGTCACCTGAGAACTCAGCAGAAATCACTCATTCTCCTCTTCTTTTGACTTAACATGAAGTGTAGGTGCCCCTTTAGCCACATTGAAGTCAGCAGTTTTTTCCCTTGGTAAAGTTTATCTGCAGCTGTTGCAAATTTTAATTACAGTTTTAGTGCTATAATCTATTATGGAACAGTGCTCTGATTTTTTTGTAGTCTTATGCTCATTTTAGTAACAGTTATGATGGCACAGCACTTTGTTTGCTTGTCACAGGATTTGTTATGTTTACTATTAAAACAATATTTTCTTTTAGGCACAGGAGGATGCTGAAGTTTTGCGATCATTAGTCATTCCTCTTGAGGAAGAGATTCAGGCACTTAAAGAAAAGTTACGTTATACAGATCAGCAACTCAGGAAATATGAAGGTGACAAGGTAAACAAAAGTTCATCTCAATAAACTTAAGGTTTGAGGCAATCCATTTTAAAGCAGTATATCAGTACACTGAAGCTTGGATCAAACATAAACATGCCTCTACTAGAATAGGTCTCTTTCCTGAGGAAAAGTAAGGTAAATTGTCTTTATGAATGTAAATCAAACCTGACAATCAGCATACTGTGTGAAGGATATTTCAGTGGATTGCTTGTGAGGATGAGAAAGAAATAAAGAAAAAACACTTAAGAATTAATTGTGAATGAAGTTCCTATATACCACCTGAAAATTCTGTTAAAAGTTTTTGATGGAAAAGTAGAGAGAGAAGACTTTTTTGAATAGACATTTGGTAACAAATGTCTATATGGAATCAGCAATAATAATGGATTAGACTAGTAAACTTTACCACATAAAAACAAACAAACAATGATTTTCAAGTATATTTGAAGTGCATTAGTTTAGAAGCGGTGATAGTGATACTGATGACTGTGTTCTGGCAGCAGAAGTTAAGGAGAGTGTGTCATTAACTAAGCAAGCAAGTTAAAATCTCAAAGAGGTTTGCAGCTTTGGAGAACTTGGTTAATAATGTGAACATTAATAGGTCTGGGAAAATATTGGAGAGAATGTGAGGACTACATTGCTCAGAATTGTTAGATCAAAGGAAACAGGGTAAATTGCAATGTTTGCAGAATCCAAGCCAAATGGACGGAGAAAAATCTGACCACTATAATACATGAAACTAGTGGGCAATTTAGGAACAAGAGAAGTTATGTTTAAAATAATATATTAAAGAGCCTGAAACGAACAATAAGAACAAAATGTTAGAGACATGTATGAGGCATAAATGAATTTAAGAAGGGTTACAGTCTAGAACTAACTTTGTTAAGACTGAGAAGTGTGATCTGCTTACAGACTTCCACGGTATTTTGAATGGGTGACAGAATTACTTCTCTCAGCTCTTGAATGTCATCAGAAAAAATATATACTTTAAATGTCTGTATTTATTGATTTATTGCACTTACAGCACAGGTTCTGATATCAAAACACAAATAGAGCTTGAGAGAATTTATTGACACAAAAACATGTTCAATATGCAATCCNTACACGGTGCCAAATCCCAGAAGACTGCTTTCTTCATAGTCACCGCCGTGAAAGCCTCAAATCTTACATAGTGTTCTTTAGTGTTGTTTTCGACTACAGCTTTGATTTCTGCCTCCATTTTGACCTGCTAGGGGTACACTCATTGATGATAAACTCGCAGTTGTTGCGTGTTCTGTGACACCAAAATTATTAATTTCATTATAGCTACCACACCTGTTTTGATGACCCCATTCAACGTTGTGAAATTTTATCACATAACAGTGTTCTCTAACTGCGTATTCAGAACAAAGAACACACATTTGCTTTTCCATTTGTCAGTGACACATTTTTTGTTTTGTAACCTTCAAATTGTCTGTCACTTCTAATACTCATAAGATAATGTGTGGCTGAATGTAACTTGTCTAATTGGAATGATGGATACAACATACTCACAGTAAGGACCAATGGCAAGCTCTTGTGGAGAAGCAGTAATTCCTTGAGGGCCATAAAGGGCAGGAAATTTCTTGACTAGCTGAGCAAAGTGCATCAGTGTCTGGACACTGGACTGATCACAGATGTGAAGCTCCAATTTCCTGGCCCTGAACCTGCTTTATATTTTTGTGGGGAGATATTTGAAAACCAAAGTCTATGCCACTGCAATTGATACTAGACATGAATTATGGCTCTGAGTTCAACAATTTGCAAGTTAATCAAAGGATACATGTGGAATCTTTGATTGATTGTGAGTTTTCTTTCTAACACACAGTTGAATTGTGTGTCCATGAACAAGGAGGCCATTTCAAGCACCTCTTGTAAGAAGAGTGAAAGTAAGAAGGTTATTAATAGCTGTTTTGTTTGTTTTCTTCTTACACACTTCCTGTTAAACTTAGGAGGTATTTAAGATGTGACCATGGAAGTTTCAAAAAAGTCTTGAGGGTGCATATTCGTATGAACTTCTTTACATGTTTGGATGTTGAGAGACTGTCATGTAAAATATGGCATGTAATAAGGAGACATTCTGTATGCAGTCAAACCATAAGATATACAGGAAAACAGTTCATCACATTTCTCTCTTTTCTTCAAGATGAGTCTACTGCTTTACTAGCAATATGGCACTGAGCAAGGTGACATTGTGGTAATGATGTGGGCTCATATTTGGGAAGAACTCAGTTAAAATTTGACACTGGCACTGGCTGTTATAAGTGAGAATATTTATGATTGTCCTCAGCCCCTCCAAGCAAATGACAAAGCAGTACCTTAATTAGGCCACTACTGCTTCTTTTCAAATTCACCATTCATCTGTCATTCTCCATCCAACGCCATGTAGTCAACTACTGACAGCATCATAATATAACCCACAAACAGAAACTTCATGATACAGAGATTAATGGTTAATACATAAGTTAATGGTTACTGATGTAGTTGTTTTATGGAACCCAGAGATTTATAACTCTTGTCAAAGGCCTGCCATTGGCCTTATTCTGAGCTAATATACATATTGTGACATGTTGACCCCTACCTCCCCAGCTGCACGTAGCGGTAGCGTATCGCTCGCGTAATAGGAGAGTAATCACCCCGCATACTGGTAGCTATGCAACGCGCAACGCGTGGTGACGTCACGAGCGGAGCCGAGCGGAGCCAAAGTGAGCCGAGTGGAGCTGACGTTAGCCGAGTCCCCGCGACCTTGAAGCTATGCAAAGCGAATGAACAGCGGTGACGTCACCGAGGGATATCGCGGTTGCTAGGCAGCAGTCAACAACTCCGGACAGCGTGGCTAGCAACACGGACCAGACGACAATTGTCCGATCAAGGCTACATAAGGAGCAGCGAAGGCTATTCACAGTCAGTTGTACTGTGACAGTCGCCGAGTGCGTTATCAACGAGTTCTCAGTTCGCAAGTTACGAGCTACAGACGCGTGTGCGATAACCAGTGACAACCAGTTATACTTGGAGTGTGTAATTCAGGGAGACTTGTATAGGTCCTGCGTTATTAATACGTGAAGACTCTTGAAGATAGTGTTAAGAGATTTTGTTGTAGGGTTTGTAGAGAGTGGAAACCCGTAACATTGTTATAATTAATTGTAGCCGATAGTTGTAGATTGTTCAATAAACCAATTAACGATCTCTACGGCGTATTCAGTAACGTAAACACGTTACAATATGTTGACACTCTTTCATCAAGCTGTCTCTGCACTCAAAGTGGTTTCTTCCCACGGGGTTTTCTGACCAGAAGTGTTTATATACATTTCTTGTTTCTGCCACGGGTAGTATATGTCCAGTCCATCTCATCCTTTATTTGATTACTGTATGATGCTGAGGTTATATGTACACACATTCTTCATTATATAGTTTTCTATATTACCCTACTTATGTCTGCTAAGTCCTGATATTGTTCCCAGACACCCCTAGTCTTTCCCTTCTCTCAAAGTAAGAAAATTTACTGCCTTGCTGTAATTTGAAAGTTGAGATAAGGCTTTCTATCAGAGGTATAAGAAAATACTATGTATTATGATTCTCAGGATGAGATAATAAAGTGGACTGAAGAAGAGGGGGATGTATCTGTTAAAGAAATGCTTCCAGTTGGTGCTCAGAATGGACCAAATGGAGAAGTAAGTTAAATATGACAAACTTTAAGCCTTTAAGTCTGGATTCATGTGCATAATACTGGGTTGCGTGTGCTTACTAGGCCAAGATACTATAAACCAATTTTTTTAATGCCAGGTGTAGGGGCAGTATTGTATGATATGCGAAGTATTGTGTCCTGCTATACCCAGGAGTTTTTGTCCTTTGTCTTGCATGCTGTGTACCTCTGCAAGTGGCCATGTAGTTGATGGCCACAGAGCAGGTTTGTAAATTGAGTAGTAACATGACAGACTTGTATTCTAGAAGTAACCAGTTTGAATCTTGGTTGGATTTCTCCTCAGTCTGTCCACCTGAATGCCAGGCTAGTACCTCCTTTAAAATTCTGGTTTGTTCGCTGTTCATAATTTTCCTTCAGTTTTATGAGTCTTATGTAACATCTACAGATGAAACAGTGTTGTTAAATAATGAAGCACTCGATGAATACATGTTTAGTGTTTCCAAAAGTAATCAGTACAATAATTCTTGAATAGGTTTTAATGAATTTATTTGCCATTATGTTTATCTTTCTCTGCCAAGTTACTCATGCATGACTTCCATTTGTATTATAATATTGAAACGTGTACATGTCCTTCATACTCAGTATATCAGGTCATAGATAAGATTTTACCTTGAGCTCCATTTACTGTCATACCATATGTATTCACTAGAATGAGTTACATGGAAAGCGTTTGTGGTTTATTTTTTAATTGAAAATGCTGCGTGTTGCATGTTTCTGGTTAATATAGAATCAATTATAGCATTGAATTTTAAGTGTTATAATTATACTCTAGGTTGTGTCACCCACAAGAGATGCTGGCAGTAAAGTGATTCAAACATCTAGTCTGGATTCAGAAGTTCATCAGTCACAAGTTACAACTAGCTCTCCAAGTAAGATATATTGCTCAGTTGTGATATATGTCAGTACTTATTATCGTTTAATTATATCTGAATTCATGACATAAATAAGTCCTGTATGTAAAATATGCAATGCAAAATTAGTTCTTAATGGCCCATATTTTTTATGGTGTCTTCTAGTAGTTTAGTCAAAATTAATTTTCAGAAATTCATTTAACAAAAAACTGAACTAAAGTCTCGTTTGTTTTGAAGTGTTATGAGTAGATTATGAAGATCTCCATTGAAAAATTCATGTTACTTAGGAACAAACTTAAAAAATGTGTATGACACCTGGTAGTTTGTAGGATTTTTTTTTCCCTTGGCACTACAGCCCCAGTGGGCCTAGGCCTACCTCATATATATATATATATATATATATGTGTGTGTGTGTATCATAATGTAGTGCTTAGACAGTATTTTTCCTTTATTTTTTCCTTTTTCTTTCCGTCCTTTATCTTCTTGTATGTGTTTTGTGGTATCCCAGTCGAAATATTTTTTTTAAAAAATGCATACTAATGGTGGCACGATTTATGCTGATAGAATACGATGATTGATTTTGGTACATAGGAAGTTCTAGATCATTTGCTTGACAGCCAGAAAATGGCAGGAGTCCACATGAGCTCGAAAACCATAGTGGAATTGAGTGTCAGGCTGTTTCAGCATTTGGTTCAGTAAAAGGAAATGTGGTGTTTGGTGTTGCTTGACATACCAGATGTCACAGTTGAGTGGTTATTACTCCAGTTTTCTCTTTGAGAGGATTTGAATCTAGGTCTGGAGATTTATTGAAACTGAGGTTTTTAATATTACCCTCAGTCCTCCCAGGAAAATGGTGGTATAGTACCTTAAACTAGGCTCTGACCACTTCCTTCTTGTCCTTTCTAATTCACTATTCATATTCTACTATTTGATATTGGGCAGTCCATGAAGCATGATTAACTACCTCTAGAATTGGTCATTTGATTTTAATGTTGAACTGTGATATGCCAGCTATCTGAAATACCCTCCATGCTGTAACAGAGCTCCTCTGTTTAAAATATTCACCAGTATGCAGTGTTTTACAGATGTCCTTGTTCTGTTACAGAGGTAAATGTAATGAACACTTCATTTACATCAATATCTAGTCTAAATGAACTTCAAGCTTGTAGCATGAAGAAGCAAAGCCCTGATGGGCATTCACCTGTACCAGAAGATTCCAAATCACTAACAGGTTAGTGGTGGTGTTAGAAGTATTCAGGATTGATTGTTAATGTTCCTTCTTGTTTCACATCAGGTGAAATACCAATTTAGTGTGTCTAATGTATCGCATCTGATGCTTCATAGTAACCTCAGTTGATACAGTATCATAAAATGATAATATAAAGAAAACCAACAAAATAGGATTATGGGTTTGAGCATAAGCTCAAAACCCTGCTTTCCCAAGTGAGAGTTTTTGGAATTTAGTCTCTCAAGGCAAATGTTAAGTAAAATTTTAAGAGAAGTGAGGATCACCTCGAACATTCCTCCTACATCATTCATCACCACCCTAATGTGTCTTATTTTATGTTGTATGATCACAATAGCTTGTACGTTATTATAAAATAATCAAATATTTATTATTATTGCTAGTGGGGTGTGACTAAGTCCCTTGTACTGCAGCCACTTCTGGCCTATTGTACCAAAATAATCAAATAAGTGAAAGGACCAAATGAGCATAGCTTTTTTTTTCATTGGCGCTACAGCCTTTGTTTGGGCCTAGGCCTACCTCCATGAAACTCTCCGTTTCACTTCGGTTTTACTAGATCTTAGACATACGGTAGGACTCCTTGGGTGGGTGATCAGCTCGTTGCAAGGCCTCTACCTGTACACAAACATCCATGCCCTGAGTGGGATTCGAACCCACAATCCCGACTTCTGAGCGAGCAAGCCTTAGACCGCTCGGCTACCGTGACCGGCCAAATGAGCATAGATAGTAGGTAGAAATTCATAAAATTTAAGATTGGTAAAGTACAGTTGTAATGCATGGTTTATACTTCATGTATTTAGATGTAACAGTCGAAAAGGATGGTGAAAATGTTGGGTCACCAGTAAGCCAGGGCCATCCCTCAGGCAACATAAGATGGCAGCAGGCCATGACACCATGTGACATGTGCTCCAACTATGAGGCTCAGCTTGTACGAGCTCAGCAACGGGGAAGAGAGTTGGAGAAACAGATAGCAACTCATGAGCGAACTATAGAGAGGTACCGTGAAGACCTCACTAAAGAGTCTGGCTTTCGAAAAGACATGGAAGAAAAGTGGAATGAAAAGAAAGAAGAACATAAGATGCAGGTAAATCAAAATGTTCTTCTCTTTTATATTTTTGGGGCTTTCCCATTTTTATAGTCACCTATAGTATTTCATGGTTGCTGATTATTTCAGTCCTTTTATTGCAGATTATTTCCTTGCACTGCCCCCTTCCTTCTGCCTCTTCCTCTGAGCGTATCTGCAAACGACTGTATCTACTGTGGATCAAATAAGATGAAGACACTAGTCAGACAGGGCATGCAAGGTAAAGAAGTGGAAGACTCATATTTCAGCAGAGTAACCACTTTGGCCAATAAACAAATATTGAGTAAGTAAATAATCCAGGCCAGAACATAGACAATTATGAAAAGAAAATTAAGAAGTATAGTTTGGCGCACACATCAGCTACCATTCCTAAGGTGTTAAACCTCACTTATGGGAGACCAAAAAGTTACTTCAGTAGGTGCTGACCAGACCAGCTGTTTGGCCTGGGAGTCAGTGACAACCCAGACAATTTCAGAAAAGCAACAAAACATAATTTTTAAAGTGACCTCTTGGTATCAGATATCCCCAGGCAATGAAAATGAGGATCATGGGAAAGCCTTGAGTGGAAGGATATGAGTAGGAGGTGGCAAGGCTAGGGAGAGCAGACATGCGTGAGGTGCATAGACTGAAACTGTGGGAAGACCAGATCAGTGTATACCTATGTAGCCAATGTGGTTTCTTATACAACCCCTTTATTTGACTGCCACAACACAGCAAATATAGAACTTTAAGGTCAATGCTCAGTATAGTTCTGCTACATGTTTCGGCCACGAGTGGCTATCATCAGGCAAACACACTTCAACAAACGTACACCATTGAACTGCAGTACGTAAAATTTGATACAATGTTATAAATCATTTAAGTTAATTTGCACAAGAATACAATAAGTAGGTTATTTAAAACAATAACAAGTCATATATAAAATTAAAATTTGATTGATGTTTAATAACATCAAATCTGTCATTGGTTTTACTTTTCATACATTTCTGTCGACGAAGAGTAAATTTGAGTCTGTTATAAAATAGTGTAGAAGGTCCAGTAATGTTGTGAATTAATTAATGGAATAGTTGGGGCTTCATCATACGGAGAATTGTACGTAATGTATGGAAAGTAATCAACAACTACCTTCAGGCAAGAATTGTTAGAAAAAATAAATTATGTATTTCTACTTCCAAATTTTATCCAGTATTTGGTAGATAAAGAAGGATGTAAATAATAATGTAATCTGTTTTTGTGTACAAATGCATGTGTGTGTGTGTGTGTGTGAGAGAGAGAGAGAGAGAAAGGGGGTGGGCAGAGGCAGAGAGTTAATGTATTTTCAGTTTGGACAGATATATTAAGGCATCAGAAATAATGCACAATCAAGTGTTTGTGCTTGATGAAGCTACACAGTACAGACATGAGGTCCCATCGTTGTGCATGGGCATGTATGTAGCTGGGTTTATGCAGTTAGATGTTACCAGCATAAGGAAATGCCAAATAAACACTATTTTCAGTCACCTTTGAATCTCTGTCACCAGGTAGCTTGAAATGTAGGCCATTGATTCTTAGTTTACTTTAGCCCTACATGGGAAGAATTGTATCTTTTTATTAATGTAATAGATTTGTGGAGTGTCTGGTTTCTTTGAAAGTACTTAGTCAGCAAAAAAAGTGCAACCTTTGGTGGCACTACATTTTACGCCATGCCAGTGCATCTGTTCACACTTAATATAGTACTTTGACTATTGCATAAGGAGACAAAATAATATTTAATTAAATGTATCCAGCTTTGTGTTCCCACTCCTTGCCATCTTTGTGCAATTTCACAGAAGACGCAGTGCAACAAGATGCTGCAGTATAATATTAAATCTATCCAGCTCTGTTCTGATTAATCTGTGAACTATGAATTTAGATTATAAATGTTTTTATAATTTTTGTACAAACATTAATTTGCCTTTATATAGCCAACAAGATCTTTAAGTGTCTCAAAAAAATCCCTCTGTAGTAATAAAGTGTTGTTGCCATGTACTGCTTGAAACATGCTTCTGCCCAGGCATTCTATCCTCCCATATCACCATTCAGCATTCATTGTTTTCATATGTGTTTATCTTAATATTGCTAACAACTTCTTGAGTAAGATCCTGCACTCTGAAGTTGGTTAAGTGCTGATTAACCATCTGACTGCCAAGCTGTGAAAGAATTGCCGCATTGTAAAATTCAGTAATACAAGGGATGTCTTTGTGCACAAGACACATAGCAGAATTAGCCACAGTATGTATTAATGCATTAGAGAACCACTCTCCCTCAGCCAGATTGGATTATGGCAAGCTTATTGGCTCGTATGAGACCATGGTTAGAGTAAGGGTCAGTGAAAGTTCACCTTATTATTGGTGAGCCTAGTAGTACATACACAAATCATCTGGTTATTGCAGGTAGGGGTTTGCTGTTAGTATTATATATGCAGTAAAATCTGTGTATGGTAGAATTCCAAGAGATCTAAATATTTTCTGTTATAGTCAGGTTTCCATTTAATACAGCTACTTACTACCCTAATTAACTTTTACCTCTAAACCCAGTATGACTCACTTCTTGGTCTGCATTGCTATAATGAATAAGTAGGCATCTTTGAATTATTATAAGAGAACTGAATACCCTAATGATGACTACAGAAAGGATAAGGAAATCCCATGCTAAGAACTAATGGTGGATGTGTTGTAAAGTTCTCAGGGCAGTGATTATTGAGTATGCAGTCATCTAGGAGTATGGAGGAATGTAGTGGTTGGATCTTCAGGGTAAAGTGACTTCAACCCTGAAAGTGGAGCAATATGTTTCTCCAGAATGTTGAAAATATACTAGACAACACAGCATCACTTCCTAAAAAACTTAAGTCTTAGCTAATTGTTCTTGGCCTGTGAAGAAATGAGGATTGGCAGTGATAATGCTTCCTTCACATTCAAAAGTCCTCCATCTGAGCTGTAATAATGTAGTACATCATTAACATGCAAACAGCTAGCCTGCCAATGGAAAGAGTTTTTGGAAGGAAATTGAGGTAGGATGCTGTGTGGGAATATATTAGAATAATTAGTATAACGCCAATATTATTTATTATTTATGTTGAAATCTTGTTGTTTCTTTTCGTTTCTGCATTAGGAATTTCCATTTGTTGTAGATCAGAAAAAGTTCCATTCTACTTGAATTTCCCTTTAGTATAGGTTCTGTTGTAGACGGGTTTTTATCGTACATTCGTATGGAACAAATGTAATAGATTTATCATTCTTCTGTGTTCTGTTCTCTCCAATACTTCTTCCTGTTAGAGCTGTTTCTGTCTTATGCACATATCTCCCATCTGCCTCTGTAAATATGTAATAATCTACATCACTGAGAATAAATATATTGGTAGAGTTATAAAAGTAATTTCTTCAGAATAGTTCAGCCAGTTTGCATTTTAAACTAGTGACAATGTGTTACACTTGTCCTTACATTGGAGATAAAAAGATTCTAGACCCATCTTCCATTCACTTTCCAGACTACTAGCCTCAATCAAGACATAACTCTTGTTCCTGTTATGATGCTTGGTTTGTGCATGATCTCTGTCATAGTTTGTTTACATATGAGAATAAAATATGAGGGTCGTACTGAAAGTCATGAGCAACAATTTTTTGTAAAGTAAGATGCTTTATTATTGACAAACCAAATACACCACCTCACTCTACAGACCTTTCTTTGTTTTTTCGCATAATCGCCACTTCTTTGTAAACATTTCTCCCAGCATTCTGGGAGTTTGAAAATTCCCCTTCTGTAAAATTCTGTTCCAGCCATCTGAAGACACTGACACACTGCTTTCTGAATTGCCTCTCTTGTCTCAAAACGTTGTCCACGTAGCTGACCCTTCAGAAATCTGAAAAGATGGTAGTCGGAGGGTGCCAGATCAGGGCTATAGGAAGAGTGTGGAAGAACGTCCCACCCCATCTTTGCAATTGCTTCCAATGTGAGGCGAGTGGCGTGGGGGCGAGTGTTGTCATGCAGGATGATAATGTTTTGTCCCGGACGTTTATCGCACAATGCACGATGGAGCTTGTGCAACATCTGGACATAATGAGCAGCATTGATGGTTTGCCCAGGTTCCAGGAATTCGGCTAGAATAAACCCCTCTGCATCCCAGAAGACTGTGCCCATTACCTTCGCAGCTGATGGCACTGTCTTTGCCTTCTTTTTTGGTGGAGAATGCAAATGGTGCCATTCCATATGCTGCCGTTTCATTTCAGGCTCGAAATGGTGAAACCAGCTTTTGTCACCTGTCACAATACAGAGCAAAAAATCATCACCTTCATGTCGATATCTCTGCAGCAGTTCTGAGGTGATGGCTTTTCGCTGACCTTTGTGGTCTTCGGTCAATAACCGCAGGACCCAGCAAGCACAAACTTTCCTATAGCCCAAGCTTTCAGTCATCTCCTGTATTGCACTGTGCCCTATTCCAAGTTTTCGGGCTATTGTGTCCACAGTCACATGCCTGTCATCTTGAATGATCTCATCCACTCTTTCCTTGTTGCGTTCAGTTGAGGCTGTTTGAGGACGACCGCTCTGAGGCTCATCTTGGATGCTGGTGTTCCCCTCTTTAAAATGTTTCACCCATATTCGAACACTGCTCACACCCATGCACACACTTCCATAAGCACGCTGAAGTCTCTGGTGAATTTCTGCAGCAGGGATTTCCTCTTTCACAAGAAATTTGATGACAGCACACTGGCAAAATGACATATCGTTGTTGGCCATTTTGTTAGGAGTGATACTGGTCACGTGATGCAAGCTATTGACATCACAAGACACTCAAGGTTAACACAACAGCTGGTTCCACCTACCACCATACTCTCTTTCGTCTGCTGTTCCCAGGTTGCATGCAAAAAAAAGTTGCTCATGACTTTTGGTACGACCTACATATTAGTGATGACATTTGACATGAGAGTTTACATGTTCTGTAGGTAGCAGAACTAAAAAAGAAGATGGAAACTGCAGAGGAAACTCTACAGGAACTGAGACAAACATACATGCAAGTATACAGTGAAGTGATGAATCAGCTGACAAGCCTCACACAGCAACGTGAACAGGTGCAAGAACAGCTTAACAAGTGAGTTTCATGCATGTGTTCTTCCTATTCGGTTCTCTTCTCAGAACTCTCCACATCAAATAGATTGATGTAGCAGTAATATTGTAGACTTGTATTTAGGAAGTGCTGAGTAGCTGCTCTTGTACTTTTTGTTGGTCTCTCCATGTGAATTCCAGGCAAGTACCATCAAACAGGCCATGACTGCCTCCTTTCATGATCTCTCATACTCATCATTCGACCATTTATGATCATTTTGCCATCCCATTCAGTGCTGTGTAATGTATTGGTATATATTTGATTATTTTCAGACTTCAGAAGGAGAACGACAATTTATTAGGAAAACACAGTGCCCATTCTCAGCAGCTGCAAAATGAGATGATAGACTGGCCTGACAAGGTGGAGGTAAAGCTTTTACATTTTTGTAAGGCATAAGTGATAGTTTTCAGATTAAAATGTGTGATTAAGCTAAATTGTAAGAACAGCTTTGATGGTGGTGGTGGTGGTGGTGATGATGACTACGATGACGACGAATAGAGCAAGTCTGAATCAGTGTCTTGATACTGGTGCCTCAGGTGGGCCTGTTTTTCAGTCAAGAGGTGAATATGGAATATGGCAGAATAATGATTGCCAGAAGAAGTACAAGTGTTTGAAGCAAAACTTGCCTCAGTGACATTGTGTTCACCACAAATCCCATAGGAACTGTTCTGAGATTGAACCTTCAGCTCCATGGTGAGAAGCTGGCAATTAACCACCTGGGCTATGGCATGACCATAGTTAACTTTAATGTAGTTTTTTTAGGATTGAGAAAAATATTTGACATGCAGATTAAATTAAACTGTCTCAGGACTAAAGGCACATTTTCTGTTAACAGTGTTAGATCCTTGAGGTCTTAAACCAAAGAGTTTGTCCAGAAAATCCAGAACAAATTTGACCATTGCCACAGTAAAAAAGGTAAAGCTTTCCCTGTAACAAGCTGTGGATACCCATTGGGTTGTGAAATGTAGAGGCTCCCACCGTTTGTAGACAGTTGGCTCACAGATGACAGTGAGGTTGTCAGCCTTTCATACCAGCCACTGTTTGCCCCCAGGAAGATTCTTGGTATCATTTCTGTCAGAGGCTGAGTCAACCTGTAGGCCATGTTGCAGTTGGAAGAACTAGGTCGATTGAAAATTCAGTGACCTCATCGGGAGTCGAACCCACAACCTTGCAGCTTGTAGCATAGTGCCTCAGCCAGCTGTGCTGTATGCGCCGCCATTGCCACAGTATATGAGTTAAAACAGAGGATGGTGTTAGTGTCTAGCAGTACATAATAAAATAAAACCTGTATGAAACAGAACTTTTCTTAATATAGAGAAGCCTTTAATTTGAAAGTTTATATAACAGACAGATTTCTTAACAACAAAATAGAAGAAAAAGATGTGAATCTAGCAGCAGATAATCTGCTTGAATATTTGTTTCCTGTTAATATAATTTTATTCCATACTATGCTTTCTGTCACAAATGGGAAAGATTTAACAATTACAACTTGACCTATAAATCCATTGCAGGACAGTTTTCCTGTTAGTGGGATATAAATGCCAAACATTGAAGAATAATGTAGTTCTGTCTGGTTTCTTTTATTTGCAGGATCTTCAGGTATTGTTGTTGAAGTTTTATGAAGAACTAATTGCTGCAAAAGTAGCAAAGGAGACTATGGAGGAACAAGAACAAACATTGCGCTGTGAGATACAGTTAATCCGTGACCAGATGAGTGGAGAACATGAGGAACGAGTGAGCATGGAAGATAGTCTCACTCAAGAACTGAACAACATAAAGTAACTAAATATCAAATGTTGAATACTGTCATACTGCATTAATTGATAATTCTAGTTGACCTGGCAACACTGTTCATACCACACCACACTGTATGCTAGTTACCTAGTTCTAATTGATCTGGCAACATGATAAAGTCACTGGCACTACACTACACCATCCTAGCACTAGTTGTTTTTATGTTCAATATTATGTCCTTGTACCAGATTTGGTAGTTGTTTTCTATTTGGTGATTATTTGTAGAAAGTTTGTTGTGTTTAAAGTGATCATGTATGCAGTACTAAACCCAAAGAAAACTAAAATTCATCATCTTAATACAGAGTGGGAAAAACGGTTCTGTTTCAGAGGTGAAATTGGGTTGTGTATACATTCCATATCTTATGAGTATGACACCTTTACAAGAAAGGTAATGTTAGAAGCCTTTATAAAAGCAAGCATGGAAGTTATGATACTGACTTTTCTTTGAGGATTGAACTCTGCAAAAGAAATTTGAAAGCAGAGGTGCAACAGTCAAGTTTTATAAAACCTGTAATTAAATGAAAAGAAGCTTCCGTAATGTCATTTTGGATGAGTTGTGTTGCAAAGCATAGTCAGAGAAATACTGAGAGAGGCATTCTTAGAGGTTAGTGATATATTGTTTGAATCTTTGAAGAACAAAGCTAAAGTGACCCTTCTGTTCACTGCATACAGTTCTCATGCAGAGCGGTCTCAGCAGCATGAGATAATGAATTGTGATTTGAACACCTTATAAACATGTTTGTTTTTCTGTGAAATTTCATGATTACAGTTATAGCTGATACTTTTTAACTTTGAATTTTCATCAGAATGGTTTTTGATGATTTTGATGTAGAAGAACTTTTATAAATCATACCTCTTAGAGGAAAATTCATGGTGAAGGTGTTGGCATTGCTTTTAATAAGTACATGGAAAAGAAATATTCTCCATTTTACAAAGTTGTGTGAATGATTACTGACGGAACAGCTGCTGTGACTGGCAGAAGAAATGGATCTTTTGTGCACAAGAAATCAATCTTCTTCTTAAGGAGGAGGAGGAGAACTGATGATTCGTTTTAATATAACATGATGGAGTTGCCACTGTATATTTTGTGTAGATGTGAGTGATACTCAAAACTGACAAGATCTGATAATTGGGGCCATAAAATGCAGCGTGACAGTGACGAATACTTTTAGTTCTTGTATAAATTTAGAAAGAGGTGACAGCATAGTGCCTTACTTCATACAAAATTGCTCACTACTTACATATTATGACTGATAAATCTGTTATCTTTCCACAGGACACAACTTCATAAATATGAAAAGGAGCGCCATAAATACAAGGCTACACATGAGGAACTTGAAAAATTAGTCAAAAATAGTCAGCGAACAGCAATGGATTTTGAAGCTCAACTCACAGATGCTCTCAAAGTAAAAGTATGTATGGTAAACTCAGTAATAAATGAAAAATGATAATATTAGTAGTCTGATTTTTGTGAACAGATGCCATCATTGTTCGACAGATTAACCATTTCACATCTAAAAGTGCATGAATGCATTGTTGTGAAATTGATCTGTTTTACCAAGAATGCATAAATGCATGAAGAGCATGTTCACACATCTCCAGGTTTTTATCAAGTTGCAGCTGTTTTCTTTATTCTCCCATGGCCTTGTGTTATATTGACATTTAGTAAAGAAATTTCTAACTAGTTACCAGTATTTATTATTTTGATTTGTTTCATTCTGGTCTGTCACACTAACAATTACAAAGACAAAACAACTCCGTCCAGTGTGACTATTGAAGTTTTTACTACTTGAAAACTTAACACCCTTCCATGTTTCGGTCCCTATAGACCATCATCAGAGGGACATCAGTACTTTTTGGAAACTACTATCACAATGGGTAAACATTAAAAACAACACAGCATGCCACAAACAAACCCAGGACGATACCAAGAATCTCCTCAAGAGAGACAGGCGGCACAAGTTCAGCCCCCGTCAAGAAAGACAATAGGAGAAGGGACATGAACCTACTTGGTTTATAAATTTTAACTTAAATAACAAAGTTTTAAAAACTATATACCAAGAAAGCTGCTGTAGTTGTGGAAAAGTTGGATTTTGTATATATTGTGCATTACAGACATTGTATATGTATGTATTTTAACACCCATTGTGATAGTAGTTTCCAAAAAGTATCGATGTCCCTCTGATGATGATCTATAGTGACCGAAACATGTAAGAGTGTGAAGTTTACAAGCAGTAAAAACTTCAGTAGTCACACTGGACGGAATTGTTCTGTCTTTGTAATATTTATTATGTTTGAAGAGTTTTGCTAAATTATGGTAAAGATGTACTAGTGATAGTTTTGCCTAGGACATTGTTCCATGATGCAGATGGGCTAAGCTTAGATAGCCAGAGTTACTCAGCCAATGAAGGAATTGGCTGTGGACAGGATGATCCAAGTTTGTTTCTTGGCAGTAATTTTTCTTTCTGCTACTACATCCAGACTAGCTCTGGTTACCAGATGATTTTTCTGTGAGGATAAAGCAGTTGGAACTTGAAGCTGACCACTTACTTCTGTTGTTGATCAAGGTCTACATTGCACTGATCTGTACCCCTGCACCATCTGTGCCCCATGGCATGATGTGTAGACCACAGAACCATTTAACCTCATTTGAAACTTAATGATAAAATATGGATTATATTGTCACATGTCTGGGGTTCTATGCCTGATAATAACGGGTTCTGCATCGGATGATTGGATTTATTGATAACTTATATTATGGTCACTGATAGTTACAATCAATTACAACAGCTCACAGTTGATGACTGCCTAAGACTCACTCCATTCCTTACTGGACTACGAGTGTCTTCTCTTCTCCTGTGACTAACTTGGTTCTGATTTACAAATTGATCCCTTCTCAGCTTCCATTGTCTGCTGGTTAACATTCCACAGCTGAACTCTCAACTGTAGGATGACTGGAGAATAAATGAATCAGTTCTTCTCTGAACGACCGCTTATATAGTCTCTAGTAACCATGGAGAACGTTTGTTAGTTCTGTAGCAACGGTCTGGTTTCCAAGTGTTTAGCCATTGCTGTGGGAATGTGCCTAGTGAGCCCTTGTTTAGTGGTGAACTATTCTGGCTTTCAGGCGTCATGTCACAATATATAAGATGTTGCTCAAAGCCATACCAAAGCATGGTTCTGAAAGCTGGACCTGACCAAAAGAGATAGAAATATGTTTCACTTTCTTTTTAAAGAAAAGTCTTTCAGACAATATATTGTCACATGTTAATGACTAGATATGGGTTTGGATTGGTAACTGGATTTATTGAATGCTTATAACTTATAACTACAAATAACTGTAACAGTCTCACTGATTTACATGCCTTAAATCTTTGCAGCTACAACACTTATTCAGTTGTTACTAGGTAGGAGCTGCTAACAGTGCAACTCAAGATGGTCTAACTGCAAACTCTGACCTCTGACTGGTAACTTTTCCTTTTGGTCCTCACTGGATAGCCTTGCATGGACTACAAAAAAATTTTCTTCCAACAGTTTCTCTTTTGTTGCTTCAGAAACATATTGACTTCGCTGTTGCCCAGCAGTGGCCGCCTTATCTTATTAAACTATTCTGGCTTCAGGCTGTCATGTCACAAAATGTATGGAATTAGGAAAAAAAATAGAATTTAGTAACTTGACTTGTTACTAGTCACCTGAGTAGGTGCAGCATGTTATTTGGATATACCTCTATGATGTGGAGCCTGCTTAAGCTTTACCTTCTTGTAAACTGAATGGATGAAGAGATGTTGGAAAACCAATACTAAAGTTAGTGGATTGAGAGAGCTGGGTATCATCAGCTGGAAACTGAAGTCACTGGAGAGATATGTACACAGAGCCATGGTTTAGAAGACCAAGACTTGGGCCACACTGCCGCATTATGAAGGAGCAGATATAGTAGCAGTAGAAAATCCTATGTCCAGTCCTCCAGCAGAGGACTGGCCTTGTCCGATGCCTGCAACTTCAACTTAAATGCATCCCGTGCTGTGGTTCCTTGTTATTCTGTAATAAGGGTGGTAAACTCATGAAATCATGGAGGTTGTGGTGGATGGGGGACTGAATATTCATGTATATGTGGAGAAATAAGAATGGTTATGGAATTTATGTGGGGAAGCATCTTGGAGAGCATCAGCTTGGGAGATCAAGAAGGAGATTGTAGAATAACATTGCAGTAGATCTTAAGCAGGTGGATTGTGTAGCCATTAACTAGGTCAAGATCATATCTGGTTGCAGCCTCTAGTATTAACAGTGTTTAACCTTTGGGTTTTAATCAGAAGGCCAATTACTCATGCTTATGTAGCAAGTCAGCTTCCCTTCAGCTCTTTTTAGTTCACTGAACACATTCATCTTACCATCTTATCTGGTGCTAAGTAAATTCTTAAGTTGATGGTATAACTGTTCATGCAATAAGAGGTGGAGTGTTAGCTCAGACATGAAGGGAGCAGGTGGGCTGTTCACTATATGTAAGCTAATGAATGAATTTTGATGTGGGTTGCTGCCACCAGTATGTACTGTGTTATAAAATAAGTATTTATGATTTGTCTACTTGCCTGTCAGATCATTTAAACATATGCTTGTTCAGAAGAGATTTTATTTCCTCATTCTATGATGTGACAGTACCATAGTCTGATGCTTCCCCAAGTTACATTGTGCTTTTGTCAGTTTGCTATACAGTTAGTAGCAGAAGGCATAGAACTATTGTTCCTGTTATATTGTTTGTAGATTATTAATTTGCATTATGTTAAAAAGTGGTATAACTAGTTGGCAGTGTGTAGCTGGGTAGGAGAACATGGGGTTTCTCTATCATTGTAGAAGTGTGTGGAATTTGCGTTATGTTATTAATGAATTCTTGAACTGAACACAGTAGTTAAATGGTTAGCAGTCCTGCTTCACATTAGGAAAGTCCTCAGGTTGACTCAGCCTGGAGACCAGGTGGCCTGACTGAAGATCTTGTGGTTTTTGTGTTCCCCAGATAATTACCTTAAAATAGGCCATAACTTCCTCCTTGCACATTACAAAATTGACATTTGTGATAATTTTCTCTTTACGTGTAATCCTGTAGAACCTCTGCAGTTGAAACAATGTTGGTATTAACTGAAAAATTGATCATTAATCCCTCAGAATTCTTTAGTGCTCCACTCCAACAATGAATGTCTCTAATGAATGTATTTTACATTTCAGAAACAGTTGGAAGAGCAAGTAGCTGAGTTGAAGAGCCGTGTAGGTTCGTTACAGCAGGAGTTAGATAATAGTGAAGCAGTGCAGAAGGACTTTGTGCGGCTCTCTCAGTCACTCCAAGTTCAGCTGGAAAGGATTCGTGAAGCAGACACTCAAGTTAGGTGGCAACATGATGAAGACATAGAAGAGTGTCAAGGCTGTAGGAATGGGTTTTCCTTTACACGTAGTAAGGTATGTACATGTTTATTACAGTTGAAGTATAGACTTATAAAAACATATCTGGAACAAACTAATTGTCCTGCAATACTTATTTTTGTGTCAGTTAAAATAGTAACTCAAAAGTTTTTTCTTTTTCTGATTTGGTAGTGATATATTTTAAGAAAACTCTAGACAGGGCGTTTAATGTGATGTAAAACAGTTTCTGATAAATGGACTGCAGGGAAAATTGTAAATAATGATCCCCCAGATATCTGGACTTAAGTCTTAATGACTTCTGCTGTGGGATTATGTTTAAGATCATGCCTATACTTCACCCTTACCAACTGAGCATGGCCTGAAACCATGAAGCCATTGCAACGCTTGTACAAGAAACCTTGCAAAAAGTTTGGGACAAGTTCCTGTATTAGTTGGATATTGTCAAAATTACCAGCAGAGCTTCTTTTGAACTTGTGTGAACTGAATCAGATATATAGAGTAAGTTGAAATTGAAGATTCAAGAAGCTACACAGAAAGAAATAAAAGAGAGAATCAAACCAATTATTTTCCATTAAAAATCTTGTTTCCATAATCTCATATGATGTAGTTTCCATTTATTATGAGTGGTTTTATGTTTTTTAATACAAAATTCATGGTCCCCCAAAAAGATTTCACTTACAGTCAGGTTTCCATTTAAAACAGATGCCATTATATGAGGGTTGGAACTTTAATAGTGGCAACTATATATTTACAACTGATACAAAATAGATGCATATTTTGAAGTTTTACTGTCCTTCACTGTAGTCACCAGCATTGTGTACAACCCGTTGCAAGCCATGTGGAAGTCATAGGATACCTTTAGCAGCACCTCTTGTGTTGATAGTTCGAATGGAGCAGTCTACTGCCTGAAGAATCTCTGGAACAGTTCTGAAGCGAATGCCACGAAGTGGTTCCTTCATCGTAGGAATCAAGTCAAAGTCACAAGGGCTTAAGTCCGGTGGGGTATGGTGGATGGTACAGCACTTCCCAGCCCCATCAATTGAACAAATCAGCCACAGCTTGCGCTGCATGCGGCTGAGCATTGTCCTGCAAAATGATGGGTGGGTTCTGCAGAAAGTGTCACCACTTCTTTCTCAAAGCTGGTCTCAGTTTGTGTTCCAAAAATGAACAGTAATACTGCGCATTGACGGTCTGCTGTCAGGGAACGGTATGTGTTAGAATAACACCATCACAGTCGTACACGAGAATCACCATAACTTTCACATTCCTGGGGTTGTGACAAACTTTTCATTTTCATGGTGACCCATAATGACACCATTTGTTCGATTGGCGTTTCATTTGTGGCTTGTATGATTTGGCCCATGTCTCATCCAGCGTAATGATACGGTGTAAGAAAGCCTCTCCTTCGTGCTCATAGCGCTCCAAGTGGTTATGAGCAGTATCGTATCGTAGCCATTTCTGCATCTGTCAGATCATGCGGAATCCATTGTGATGCAATTTTTCTCATGCCCAGGCGTTCCTTCAGAATGTGAAGCACAGTTGTATGCATTAATCCTGTCTCTCGGGCCAGCTCACGAATCATATGGCGTTGATCACTCTCCAGTAACGCGGAAAGTGCATACACTTCTTCTTCACTGACACTAGGACGACCTGGCCGACACATGTCTGCAACATTTTGGCGTCCCTCGTTGAATGCTTTTACCCACCTTGCCACTGTTCTGTAAGGCAATGCAGATTCCTCACAAACCTCTTGAAGACCTTGATGACACTGTCGTGTTGTATGGCCTGTGGCACATTCAATCTTTATCCAACTCCGTTGTTGCTGTTTTGAAAACATCGTGACAACCGTCACCTAACTTGAGGCTCTGTTCTTGTCACTGCACATGTGTGTGATGTGGGAAGGAAGAGTCAATTTGCTCTGAGGTAAGGTAGATATGTAACTAATGTGTGGTATAAGCTACATTATTTGGTTCTGTTGCATGACGTCTCTACAGCAGTGTTGCCATTATTAAAGTTCCAACCCTCGTAGATATGTTTTACTGTATCTGGTTTGAAATTGCTGTCATGACAAAGGTTTTTCATAATTGTCCTTAGTGAGAAAAAAATGTAATGCTTGTTTATAACATCCATAATTCTGTTGCAGCAACACTGTCGTCATTGCGGACGTATCTTTTGCATCAGCTGTCTGTCTCATACAGTACACAGTGGACCTAACCAACGTCCCTCTAAAGTGTGTGATGTCTGTCACACATTACTTGTGCGTGACACTGCCCCATACTTCAGCACTGAACCACCACATACACCAGACTAATTTTTTTTTATGTCAAGAATCGTCACTTTACTTCAAAAGGTTGTCTTGTCTTGGTTTTTTTTTCATATATACATAGTCATTACACTAAAATAATGTTATTTTTTTATACTTTTAGTTTATTGATATCTTGTTAAGTAGTTCATAATCTTTTCATATGACAGTGAAGTCTGGACAATATCCTTTGAGGGTCATTTTAACTAATGTCATTCTGTTGAAATGTGAATGATGAACCTTGGTTGAGTATATAAACACAGATTGGCTGGATACTGTTTTGCAATGTAACATGTTTGTTTTGGAAGAAGCTTCTTGCACTTCTGAGGGGCTCGCTGTCTCCATCATCAGAACAGAAGTTAAGAGAGCTGGGATAAACACATACATGCAGAGAAGAAACCAACCAGTGATGAGCTTAGAATCATTTTGAATTTGGTATAGATCACTGAAGAATATAGCTTCATATAATGTCTATAAAAATATAACTTTCATATCAGTATTCTGTAGGTTTCCTGTTTCCTACCATAGACCAAATACTGAACAACCGAAGAAATTAAGAAATGTACTGTTTAGATTTGCCGTTGCCAGCATGTACAGAAATCAAGGCTGCTGCAACAGTGCAGAACTAGAGCATTATTTTATGTTAATTACACATTCACTTTAATACTAGGTGGTTCAAATATGACCGGGACTGATTTTTTTGCAAATAAGCTGCACTGCGCAGCAGCTGTGCGACCTTGAGAGAGTGATACCACAACCTCCACCCTCCCTCCTGTTAGGGTTAGAACCTGTTCAGTCCTGTCTGGAAGTTGTTAGGGTGATGAGTGAACAGAAGGTACCGCGGAGCGTGGAACAGCGCATTGTGATCAAATTCCTCGGAGAAAACGTCCCGTCCGCTGAAATTCACCACAGACTCCAACAACAGTATGAGGAAGAGCGTCTCTCATGGACCCGTGTGTTTGAGTGGTGTAAGTGCTTCAGAGAGGGCAGAGAGCGCGTGGAGAATGAACCACATGATCGTCGGCCGCGAACATCTGTCACCAAGCCAAACATTGATCGTGCAGACGCACTTATTCGTGAGAATAGGCGCATCACTATCAAGGAACTTGGAGCAATGCTGTCCATCAGTGTTGGTAGTGTAGAAGACATCGTGAAATACCACCTGCACTATCGCAAGGTGAATGCACGGTGGGTACCACACACTTTGACAGATGTGAACAAAATGGTGCGCATGCAACTTGCCAGTTGTCTCCTACAGCAGTTTGAAGACAAAGACAAAGGTGATGCATTTTTGAAGTCTGTAGTGACCACCGATGAAATGTAGGTGCACTACTTCATTCCCGAGTCCCAGCAATCATCACGTGAGTGGCGGCATACCAGTTCTCCCAAACCCAAGAGAGCGCGGAGGAGCCGTTCGGCTTCTAAGCGGAAGAGAGGTGGAAAGTGGGTAGCCTTCCTTCAAGACAATGCATGCCCCCATACGGCCAAAACAACAATGGAAACCCTCCGGAAATTGAAATGGAACCTTCTGGCACATCTGCCGTAAAGTCCCGATTTGGCACCAAGTGATTTCTACCTGTTCGGAAGGGTCAAATCAGACTTGCAAGGCATGCGGTTTGTGGATGACGCCATCATCCAGGATATTCGGGAGTGGATACACCGCCAGCCACAAAACTTTTTTGAAAAGGGCATCAGGATGCTTCCAAAACGTTGGAAAAAATGTGTTGACGCCGGAGGAAAGTACGTTGAAGACTGACATGTGCAAGTAAGTGTTTGGCAATTTTGGTTTAAAAAAAATCAGACCTGGTCATATTTGAACCACCTTGTATCTTATAATCTTTAGGCTTAAATGCTGTAATGATAATCATTTCCTTGTAGATATGATTAGTCACTGTTATTTTTTTATTACAGGAAGTCATTCATAGATGCCACATGGCTACTAGAAATTTACGACATTTTTCTATGTGGATGAATTTGAATTCTATGTGAAGGTTGAGAGTGTGTATGTTTGTTCCTAGGGAAGCTATTTTCTCCAGTTGTCATCATATTGTCACTTTTTCTTTGCCAAAAGCATATGCATGGATGTTTTAATTATTATGCTGTTTGTTGTTAATTAAAATGCTGAGTGCTTATGCTGGTGATTATAACATTCTACAAAAATTTGTGATAGGTTATTCAGTGTGGGTCCTAGTGCAAAAGCTGGAGAATTGGTCTAATTTTCTAATGAATCATATAAGAACAACGGTAAATATCAGACTATGAAGGGAAGTGGTTATTTTGAGGGACATCTAATATCTTGAGAGAACTTTGTCATTTAATCATGCATTCATCTTCTCCAGCACAAATTGACTGGTTGAAACAATTATATACCCCAGCCAGAACCACATTTACTTTTTATAAAGACTGCAATTGACTTGTTACAACTTTTGCAGTTAAGAGATTTAATATACTCTTACAATTTGTTGGTTTTATCTGTGTGTTTGTATGTGTGAGTGTGCGCACATGCATGTATGCATGTGTGCATGCATAGTAATTTAACCCTAGCATTCTTGACTTTGTGCTGGACATGGAGGTGGCATTTCTTTTCACAACAGGGGAAGTTCTTTCTTCAAAATGTTACGCAACATGAAAATTCAAAACACCAGCACATTTCATCTGTGAACTACCTTTTCGGCAATGCCTGTTTACAGCCTGATGTAAACTTTATAATCTGTGGCAGTGGGATCAAGTGCGTTTCAGAAAGAGCTGTGTTGAACCAGATTCTGATTTCATAAAGCATACATATATATGTACATCATTTGGAGGGAGAGTTTATACAACATACAGATACAAACATGTATGGGGATTTTAAACTTTTGTAGCTCTGAATCATTGTGAATTTCATATTCATAATTTTATTGCATGGAAGTGCAGATATAAAGTGTCCAATTAAAGTCTGAAAAGTGTTTGTCGTTATGGTAAGGCACTTGTTAATGTGAAAAGCAAGAATGAAAGTTAAATAGTGTTTATTAGGTATGTGCAAGAATGACCTTTTCAGTTCAAGACAAGATCAAGATGAAAAATTTTAAGAATGAAGATAACACTAGTGACTTTTCCACTGTGCACAAAAGTGTACTGCTGTATTTGCCTGAATGGAAGATTATTCCTCAACCAGTAAGATGACTGTACACTAGGAAACAAAACAGCACAGTGAAAGTAAATTATGAATTAATTTCATGGGAGCCTCAACGTCTCACATCCTATGGGCCTTCATGGCCTGTTAGTGGGTGAGGGGGGGGGACTACTGCAAACGTGTGAAAAAATAAATGTCAGGGAACAAGTTATACATGAAATGTATTGTGGCAGGTAGACCCATTGCTGGGCAGTGACTGCAAGGTAAATATACTACAGCTGTTACTGAGTAACGGCTTTGCAAACAAGAATGTTTCCATGGCACCTATTGAACTACAACAATGAGGAACAGTGTTTCTGTGCAGTGTGTGCCAAGATGTTATAAGCAGGACAACTAGCGGAGACAGTTGAGTTGAGTTTACTGAGCCAGTCAGTGAAGAGTTATAGGATTACTGCAGTTCAGTTGTGAGCTGTTGCTGTTAGAAGGTGCAAACTGAGGCCTGCGACAGTTCAGGGACCCAGAGGAAGAGGAACATCTGCCATTGGGAGCCACTACCAAGTAATGGCTAGGGATGACTGAACACACTTTAGGTGTATTGTGGTTACAGTGATCTTTGGAGTAACTCAGTGAGACTGTCATAGCCATTTGTAATTATGTTCTGTAAGTGTCTGGTAAATCTGATTACCAATCCAAACCCCATCTGTAGCCACACTCCATCATGTGACAATATTGAGTTAGTTTCCTTCTTGAAATCACTAGCCTTTATTCAGTTTCACTGGTCTCATTGTGTTCACCATTCCTGTCATATCTCTCAGTTTCACTGTTTTTACAATTCCCATTTTATTATTGCATCTCATGTCTACTGCCAGTATTCCCAACTTCTTTCTCAATCTTTCCATTTATTTCATTGGATATACAACAGTTTTTAAGTCTTCTGGTCATGATTTCTGGAGAGATCTGTTGCCATGGTGCCACAGTGGATTTACACTGGACCTCTTTGTTGTTCCCATGCTGTCAGAATAAAGTCTCCTACGAAGAACAATTCAGTGTACAGTTGTTTCAAATGATCCATAATAGGTTTTTCATTAGTATGAATTCTACGNCTTCAAGGCGTACCATTCACTGCTGAAATACTAAACAACCTGCTTCCATGGCCGAGATACAGGGCGCCCATATTATAAGGTAAGGTTATAAAACCACCATTTAAGATCATTTTAGTGAAAGTTTCATGTTCCTATCTCATAGAATTTAAGAACAATGATGAATAAATAATTTTCGAGCAAAATTTAAATGGCCGGCTGAATATATTACCGCAGGAGCCGCGGCCGCGGAATTTAAATGACCACGTCAAAGTGTTAAATAACCTTTAAGTGCGTCTACCACAGATAATTCCTCATTTTCTCAGCACTACTCGTGGTCTTCTGTTGCATACAACTGGTAACCTTCCCTTCATCAGTTCACTTAGTCATCCATCTATAAGTAATTTTCAAGGAGTGCATCCTGTTGTGTTAACTTACACTTTGTTACTGTTTTTCCATCTCAGTGCAACAACTATTGTAATCTTATTCACATTCACTATGTATAATGAGTTTATTGGTTTTAATAGTATGACAGTGTATATTCTCAAATTATTGAATTGTGTTTACATATGACTTCATATATTACAGTATAACACCTGTTACCAATGTATCTGACTTTCCACATAGTTAATACAGTCATCATTTGATCATACCATTCTTATAAATTGGAATAGAAGTTTTATATTAAATGGATGCCTAGAGATGTACATAAAGGCTTTTATAATAAATTATTTAAAAATAAGAACCTTTTTAAGTTATAAATTACACTCAGTGAATTAAAATTTTGCTCATTATGTTGTGCTTAAATATCTTATATAAATACTATTTATGTTTGAGTCCATTATGGCGTTTATAACACTAAAATGTGTAGTTATTTATGAATGTTGTTTTGATTGTGGTCTAGTTTGCTTTATTACTACTCCCATTTGATTTCCTTATGGACCAGCCACACAGTTCGGAGCTAGTTGTTGTGATGTTCTGTCCTGTTTATTTCTATGTTTCCCCGGTCTGGTTTTCTTTGTCTTGGGTTTATCCACCTTTCGCATTTCTGCATCTGGCTTCGTTGTGTGTCAGATGGTAACATACCTTCCTGTTTTTGTTGTTTCAATCTTTGATTGTTTGCCTCAGGAGACACTGTATACTCCTGCCAACTGACAGTTATTTGTTCTGCAGATTTAACCATCATAGTTTTACAGTATTAACCACAACTGTGGTGCCTGATGCTTTTTAACTCATTATTCAATTGCATACTGGTACTTCTTTTTGTCACATTATCTGCCCTTTTTATGTCCAATACTTGTATTAGCACAGAGTTTTATGATATCATAAACTGGTAAATTGCCAGTTTTGTTTCATAACTCTGATGGTACATCAGGCAGTTTTGTGGCTGATGACCTTGAAAGATGCTTGTGTTAAAATGAGGAAGGAATTTGTTTTCCATTCAGTCAAATATGATACCTATGACTTTTGACCCTGGTGTGCAAAACAAAGGCAGTTACCAGAAAATTTTCTAA